GTAGTTGGAGGTAATGTAGATATATAATGTGTATATACAGCTATACAACAACATTGGTCTGTAGTTGGAGGTAATGGAGGTATATAATGTTTACATACAGTATAAAACAACATTGGTCTGTAGTTGGAGGTAATGGAGGTATATAATGTTTATATTCAGCTATACAACAACATTGGTCTGTAGTTGGAGGTAATGTAGATATATAATGTGTATATACAGCTATACAACAACATTGGTCTGTAGTTGGAGGTAATGGAGGTATATAATGTTTATATACAGCTATACAACAACATTGGTCTGTAGTTGGAGGTATATAATGTTTATATATAGTATAAAACAACATTGGTCTGTAGTTGGAGGTAATGTAGATATATAATGTGTATATACAGCTATACAACAACATTGGTCTGTAGTTGGAGGTAATGGAGGTATATAATGTGTATATACAGCTATACAACAACATTGGTCTGTAGTTGGAGGTAATGGAGGTATATAATGTTGATATACAGCTATACAACAACATTGGTCTGTAGTTGGAGGTAATGTAGATATATAATGTGTATATACAGCTATACAACAACATTGGTCTGTAGTTGGAGGTAATGGAGGTATATAATGTTTACATACAGTATAAAACAACATTGGTCTGTAGTTGGAGGTAATGGAGGTATATAATGTTTATATTCAGCTATACAACAACATTGGTCTGTAGTTGGAGGTAATGTAGATATATAATGTGTATATACAGCTATACAACAACATTGGTCTGTAGTTGGAGGTAATGGAGGTATATAATGTGTATATACAGCTATACAACAACATTGGTCTGTAGTTGGAGGTAATGGAGGTATATAATGTGTATATACAGCTATACAACAACATTGGTCTGTAGTTGGAGGTAATGGAGGTATATAATGTGTATATACAGCTATACAACAACATTGGTCTGTAGTTGGAGGTATATAATGTTGATATTCAGCTATACAACAACATTGGTCTGTAGTTGGAGGTAATGGAGGTATATAATGTTGATATTCAGCTATACAACAACATTGGTCTGTAGTTGGAGGTAATGGAGGTATATAATGTTGATATTCAGCTATACAACAACATTGGTCTGTAGTTGGAGGTAATGTAGATATATAATGTGTATATACAGCTATACAACAACATTGGTCTGTAGTTGGAGGTAATGGAGGTATATAATGTTGATATACAGCTATACAACAACATTGGTCTGTAGTTGGAGGTATATAATGTTGATATTCAGCTATACAACAACATTGGTCTGTAGTTGGAGGTAATGGAGGTATATAATGTTGATATTCAGCTATACAACAACATTGGTCTGTAGTTGGAGGTAATGGAGGTATATAATGTTGATATTCAGCTATACAACAACATTGGTCTGTAGTTGGAGGTAATGTAGATATATAATGTGTATATACAGCTATACAACAACATTGGTCTGTAGTTGGAGGTAATGGAGGTATATAATGTGTATATACAGCTATACAACAACATTGGTCTGTAGTTGGAGGTAATGGAGGTATATAATGTTGATATACAGCTATACAACAACATTGGTCTGTAGTTGGAGGTAATGTAGATATATAATGTGTATATACAGCTATACAACAACATTGGTCTGTAGTTGGAGGTAATGGAGGTATATAATGTTTACATACAGTATAAAACAACATTGGTCTGTAGTTGGAGGTAATGGAGGTATATAATGTTTATATTCAGCTATACAACAACATTGGTCTGTAGTTGGAGGTAATGTAGATATATAATGTGTATATACAGCTATACAACAACATTGGTCTGTAGTTGGAGGTAATGGAGGTATATAATGTTTATATACAGCTATACAACAACATTGGTCTGTAGTTGGAGGTATATAATGTTTATATATAGTATAAAACAACATTGGTCTGTAGTTGGAGGTAATGTAGATATATAATGTGTATATACAGCTATACAACAACATTGGTCTGTAGTTGGAGGTAATGGAGGTATATAATGTGTATATACAGCTATACAACAACATTGGTCTGTAGTTGGAGGTAATGGAGGTATATAATGTTGATATACAGCTATACAACAACATTGGTCTGTAGTTGGAGGTAATGTAGATATATAATGTGTATATACAGCTATACAACAACATTGGTCTGTAGTTGGAGGTAATGGAGGTATATAATGTTTACATACAGTATAAAACAACATTGGTCTGTAGTTGGAGGTAATGGAGGTATATAATGTTTATATTCAGCTATACAACAACATTGGTCTGTAGTTGGAGGTAATGTAGATATATAATGTGTATATACAGCTATACAACAACATTGGTCTGTAGTTGGAGGTAATGGAGGTATATAATGTGTATATACAGCTATACAACAACATTGGTCTGTAGTTGGAGGTAATGGAGGTATATAATGTGTATATACAGCTATACAACAACATTGGTCTGTAGTTGGAGGTAATGGAGGTATATCATGTTTATATACAGCTATACAACAACATTGGTCTGTAGTTGGAGGTAATGGAGGTATATAATGTTTATATACAGCTATACAACAACATTGGTCTGTAGTTGGAGGTAATGTAGATATATAATGTGTATATACAGCTATACAACAACATTGGTCTGTAGTTGGAGGTAATGGAGGTATATAATGTGTATATACAGCTATACAACAACATTGGTCTGTAGTTGGAGGTATATAATGTTGATATTCAGCTATACAACAACATTGGTCTGTAGTTGGAGGTAATGGAGGTATATAATGTTGATATTCAGCTATACAACAACATTGGTCTGTAGTTGGAGGTAATGGAGGTATATAATGTTGATATTCAGCTATACAACAACATTGGTCTGTAGTTGGAGGTAATGGAGGTATATAATGTTGATATACAGCTATACAACAACATTGGTCTGTAGTTGGAGGTAATGGAGGTATATAATGTTGATATACAGCTATACAACAACATTGGTCTGTAGTTGGAGGTAATGGAGGTATATAATGTTGATATACAGCTATACAACAACATTGGTCTGTAGTTGGAGGTAATACCTGTATGATTAGCTGTACAAATAGGCATGACATGAGGAGTTTTCCGTGTATTGGGTTATACACGGGGAGATAGGGGTAAAAATTAGCGATATAGATACTTGGTTGGGTACTTGTTTAAATAGTTCATGCCTAATACCGGACCTGATGCATTCTTTATACATATTATTTATAAACATATATTGTTATACCTGACAAAATGAAATTAGTAAATTATTAAATAATGGTTAATCTTTATACAAGTCATGTTATTATAATTGACATACAGTTACTAGGAATTCAGTGATTAACGTTTTCTATTTTTAACTTGTACTAATTCATTTTCAGTATGGTCTGATAAAGGAGATATTTCTGTATTTGTTCTACCTTTAAGAATGTCACATAATAGTGTTCATTACACCTTAGGAAACCGTGACGTATCGTAAACATAGACAAAATACTGAAACATTCTCTTTATTACTATCAGTACTGATAACACCTCGCAGATCTGTGCTATCTAAAGCTAGAAGATGAAAGGTTTACTCTTATTAGCACAGAGTGTTGACAGTCAAAAGAACTTGAAATTCCACATCTAATAAAGGATTAAGATAAATTCGCAGAAATATCTATATCATTGTGCTGGTAAATCATAGCATATTATCATCCATTTTAATTTTCGAAAATGTTCGGGAGTTATAAAACCACCAAGTTGAGAATGATATTTTGCAATATAATTCTGTTAGTATTTTATTGATCTATATACGAGGGAAAAATATAACAGGTTTTATCACTTCTATCTACAACACTACGCAAACATCACTACAAACATCACTACACAAACATTACTTCAGACATCACTACACAAACATCACTACAGACATCACTACACAAACATTACTACAGACATCACTACGCAAACATTAATACAGGCATCACTACACAAACATTAATACAGACATCACTACGCAAACATCACTACAACACTACACAAACATCACTACAGACATCCCTACACAAACATCACTACACAAACATCACTACAGACATCACTACACAAACATCACTACAGACAACACTACACAAACATTACTACAGACAACACTACACAAACATTACTACAGACAACACTACACAAATATTACTACAGACAATACTACACAAATATTACTACAGACATCACTACACAAACATTACTACAGACATCACTACACAAACATTACTACAGACAATACTACACAAATATTACTACAGACATCCCTACACAAACATTACTACAGACAACACTACACAAATATTACTACAGACAACACTACACAGAAGTGACTACATCATCTTATTCCTTCACAGACACCACTACACAATATCATTCCTACAGACACCAGTACATGAGATAATTCCTACACAGACACCATCACACATTATTCCTACTTACACAGAGGTGAGACAAGTATTTGCAGAAGGGGATGAGCATCAACCGTAAGCTGCATCATCTTTATTTCATTTCAACATGGAGTGGAATGAATGACAGTTACTGTCCCTCAGACTCCATTACAGTTTCAGCTATTCACTGAATTGTACAGTTATTGGCATTTTTTGTTTGATAAAGGAAACAGACCTTTTCTAAAGTCATTAAATATTTTCATTCGTTCTTTGTGTTAAAGATAATATCTTTTCAATATATATCTATTCCAAGCTGATCTCATCTCAGATATCATCAATCAGCTTCAGAATGGAACTGTCCTTTTTGCTGACATAATTTGGCAGTTATTTTAGATTCAGATACATGTATTTCAGAATGATATGGGCAATGTATACATCACCAAGGTGTATCCTAATAGAGCATTTCTGGGGAATGTGCACTACTCTACCTAAAGGAACTCTTTAATATTAAACTATATATATATATATTTTTCCTGTAAACAAACAAAAAAAATTCCATTTGAAGTTTCTTGTAACTGATTTATTAGATAAAATTATAACATACATGTAATAACGTGTACACTGATTTCACTGCTGACTGTGTTTGCTGATTTCGCTCTCTATGTCTTTCATACTTTGTAAAACTGTCAATAATTTATTTTCATCCATCTCAAATTGAACAACTTCAGTATCCTGAAAGAAAAATGAAAAACGTTTTATTATACATATTCCATTAGCAATTCATGGTGCTTAACAGTAGTTTTGTCATCTATTCCTGGTGTTAAACAGTAGTTTTGTTAACTATTCATGGTGCTTAACAGTAGTTTTGTCATCTATTCCTGGTGCTTAACACTAGTCTTGTTATCTATTCATGGTGTTAAACAGTACTTTTGTCATCTATTCCTGGTGCTCAACAATAGTTGTGTTATCTATTCATGGTACTTAACAGTAGTTTTGATATCTATTCATGGTGCTCAACAGTAGTTTTGTCATCTATTCCTGGTGTTAAACAGTACTTTTGTCATCTATTCATGGTGCTCAACAATAGTTGTGTTATCTATTCATGGTACTTAACAGTAGTTTTGATATCTATTCATGGTGCTCAACAGTAGTTTTGTCATCTATTCCTGGTGTTAAACAGTACTTTTGTCATCTATTCATGGTGCTTACAATAGTTGTGTTATCTATTCCTGGTGCTTTACAGTAGTTTTGTCATCTATTCATCGTGCTCAACAGTAGTTTTGGTATATATTCATGGTGCTCAACAGTAGTTTTGTCATCTGTTCCTGGTGTTAAACAGTAGTTTTGTTAAATATTCATGGTGCTCAACAATAGTTGTGTTATCTATTCATGGTACTTAACAGTAGTTTTGATATCTATTCATGGTGCTCAACAGTAGTTTTGGTATATATTCATGGTGCTCAACAGTAGTTTTGTCATCTGTTCCTGGTGTTAAACAGTAGTTTTGTTAAATATTCATGGTGCTCAACAATAGTTGTGTTATCTATTCATGGTACTTAACAGTAGTTTTGATATCTATTCATGGTGCTCAACAGTAGTTTTGTCATCTATTCCTGGTGTTAAACAGTACTTTTGTCATCTATTCATGGTGCTCAACAATAGTTGTGTTATCTATTCATAGTACTTAACAGTAGTTTTGATATCTATTCATGGTGCTCAACAGTAGTTTTGTCATCTATTCCTGGTGTTAAACAGTACTTTTGTCATCTATTCCTGGTGCTCAACAATAGTTGTGTCATCTATTCATGGTGCTTACAATAGTTGTGTTATCTATTCCTGGTGCTCAACAGTAGTTTTGTCATCTATTCATGGTGCTCAACAGTAGTTTTGGTATATATTCATGGTGTTAACCAGTACTTTTGTCATCTATTCCTGGTGCTCAACAATAGTTGTGTTATCTATTCATGGTACTTAACAGTAGTTTTGATATCTATTCATGGTGCTCAACAGTAGTTTTGGTATATATTCATGGTGTTAACCAGTACTTTTGTCATCTATTCCTGGTGCTCAACAATAGTTGTGTTATCTATTCATGGTGCTCAACAGTAGTTTTGGTATCTATTCATGGTGCTCAACAATAGTTGTGTTATCTATTCATGGTGCTTACAATAGTTTTGGTATCTATTCATGGTGCTTACAATAGTTGTGTTATCTATTCATGGTGCTTACAATAGTTTTGTCATCTATTCATGGTGCTCAACAATAGTTGTGTTATCTATTCATGGTGCTTACAATAGTTTTGGTATCTATTCATGGTGCTTACAATAGTTTTGGTATCTATTCATGGTGCTTACAATAGTTGTGTTATCTATTCATGGTGCTTACAATAGTTTTGTCATCTATTCATGGTGCTCAACAATAGTTGTGTTATCTATTCATGGTGCTTACAATAGTTTTGTCATCTATTCATGGTGCTCAACAATAGTTGTGTTATCTATTCATGGTGCTTACAATAGTTTTGGTATCTATTCATGGTGCTTAACAGTAGACTTGTTATCTATTCTTTCCTACCAAATCTTATTTTTTATGGTACATTAAAGTGATCCAGAAATGATCATCCCATGAAAATAATCGGCTAAAGTAAACATTATTTAGCAATCCTGTTACATGCTTAAAACATAAAGACGGTAATGAATTATACAGATAACTGATTTGATATGTTTCCATAAAACTTGTTAGGATAGCACACCAGCTGATGTTGTAAAAGAAATAATTTTACTATAACATAATTACAATCTGGATTATAAAATCAACACAGGTGTGTTGTAAACACCGATGTTATAAATCAACACAGGTGTGTTGTAAACACCGATGTTATAAACCAACACAGGTGTGTTGTAAACACCGATGTTATAAACCAACACAGGTGTGTTGTAAACACCGATGTTATAAACCAACACAGGTGTGTTGTAAACACCGATGTTATAAATCAACACAGGTGTGTTGTAAACACCGATGTTATAAACCAACACAGGTGTGTTGTAAACACCGATGTTATAAACCAACACAGGTGTGTTGTAAACACCGATGTTATAAACCAACACAGGTGTGTTGTAAACACCGATGTTATAAACCAACACAGGTGTGTTGTAAACACCGATGTTATAAACCAACACAGGTGTGTTGTAAACACCGATGTTATAAACCAACACAGGTGTGTTGTAAACACCGATGTTATAAACCAACACAGGTGTGTTGTAAACACCGATGTTATAAACCAACACAGGTGTGTTGTAAACACCGATGTTATAAACCAACACAGGTGTGTTGTAAACACCGATGTTATAAACCAACACAGGTGTGTTGTAAACACCGATGTTATAAATCAACACAGGTGTGTTGTAAACACCGATGTTATAAATCAACACAGGTGTGTTGTAAACACCGATGTTATAAATATCTCCCTACCTTAGTGCTGCCAGCTCCCTGTAGCTGTAGCTCCATGATAGCAGTTGGCTCATTAATTTGATCCACATTTTTAGACTGTGACTTTACATCTATTCGCCAAGACACTTGTTTTAAACTATTGTTCCAGTTGGTGTCAACAACTAAACTGTCGTGTATTTTGTTTTTATGTGATCTCCAGAATCTCCGTAGAGCATTTGCTTGTTCTTCTGAGAGAGCTCCTTCCCGTCTTTTGGTTTGTGACACAACAAAAGCTTCCAACTGATTGAAATCCATGTCAGCTGACACCATGTTCTGCAACCAAATATCAACTGGATAGGAGATGGTGGAAAGAAACTTTACCAATTTGATACATGTATGCCACACAAATTATATATATATAAAAAAAACATTGACAAGAGTATAAGATGCTCTTTAATGTCACTGCGATGTAGCAGCATATGATAAATGTTACTCAAATGATGTCACTCTAATTATGTTAATGGAGTTACTAAAGTTAATATAATGTCGCTAATATCACTGAAATGATGTCACTGATGTATCTGTAGTAATATAACTGATGTGTCTGTAATGATGTCATTCAGGTTACTGTCATGATATCACTGACATTACTGCAATAAATCCAATAATGCTAGTTCAATGATGTCATTGTAAAAAACATCATTTTGTTGGTGTCACTGAAATGATGTCGGTGTATATGATGTCAATGAAGTTACTGTAATGAAATATCATTACTGATATCATAGAAAAAAACCAGTGATGCTATTTCAACATTAGTGAAGTTGGTGTGAATTCATTATAATGATGTCACAATTATGATGTCATTGATGTTAATGCAATTATTTCACTAATGTAACTAAAATTACAGTAATGAAATCACTGATGTCACTGTTATGATGTCAATAATATTTCTGTAAGTGAAGTTATTATCACAGTGTCGCTGATGTTGCTATACTGATGTCACTATGGTGATGCCATTGATATTATTCTAATGTCATTGATTTAAGTGCAACAATGTCACTGAAGTTACAGAAATTATGCTATTGATGTTACTAAAATTATGTTCCTGACGTTACTGTTATGATGCCATTTAAGTTACAACATTGATGTCACCACATATTCATTGCTATGATGTCAGACGTCTCAAATTATAATTGTGTCACTGGTGTGGTTGTAATGTTACTTATATCACTGTAATGATACCACTTAAGTCACTGTAATGATATCACTTAAGTCACTGTAATGATATCATTAAAGTCACTAACGATGTCACTGGTGTCATTGTAATGATGTCATAGTAATGTCACAAAGGAATTAATGTTAGTAGAAAGTTTTCAATGGCGTTGTTTTAGTTAGATGACTTCCCTGGTACAGATACTTTAATACGCCATTTGTGTTGTCTTTTATTATTTGTATGATATTGAACTTTGTGTCGGAATCAGAAACTGACGTAGCTGAAAGCTTTATAGATCAGCATTAGATCAGTGCAGATGGGCGTATAACAATACCAGACGTATACCTTCATTAATCCTGAAAATCTTGATACAAGTCTGTTGAATTCTTCATCACTCATTTCCGGATATATCTGGCTTTTCAAAAACTCATCTGTAATTTCATCATCTTTGTAATATGTTCTTCTTGCTAAACCATTGAGCAAAGCAATAGTGTTTTTCGTCTCTTCCGCCATTTTCCTCTCATGTGATCTGCTTGGCGTATCTCTGAACTTTGATTGGTTTAAATTTCATTTACTGCGTTCTTACAAAATGGCAGCCTCCATGACGTTTCCAGCGGCTGCCGGCATAATGCAAGAAAACGCATCAGTAGAACAAGAACAAGATGCAAATTTAGCATTAACAGATCTTGATAAGGGTACTTACTTCAAAGAAAATATCCTGATAGAATACGGACACATGTGTTCGTCAAAATAGGTCTTGTTTTCACAGCAGGTCTTGGATATTTCAGTTCAGCTGTAAATATCAGTGAAAACTTAAATTGTAGTATATTTTCATTGTAAACAAACACTAACTTGTGTAATCAGCAATAATCCGCACCTATATCGTCGAATCAATGAACGACGAAAATGTCTTTATCAATGGATTCGTCCTTTTTGATCTCGTATACGTGCATGAGAGATTATAAGGATTTTCAGTGTTAATGTAAAAATGTATTTTTATCAAAATGGGATCATTACACAAAGAGATATAATTTTTACAAAAAAAAAGAAAAGAAATAATCTTTCATGTTGTAATGAAAAGTTTATGCTATACACAGGGGTTAAGCTGTTTTCCCGTTTTCCTCAACTGATGTCTTCCACTCCACAATAAAGTTAATTAGACATTCCTTCAATGTAAAAGATTAATTTCTTTTCTCTCTACTGGACATATTTATTTCAGAGAATTTCTGTATTTTTAAACTAGATGAGAGTGATTTCTGGTAACAACTTGACAAGAATCAAACATTGGTCTTCGGAGAGATAATTATACTGCTCTACCAACTGAGTCAAAAAAATTCTCTGTTAGTTGAGTGACACAAACTGTATGAAACACTATGTAGAAGCTGAGCCAACCCCTTCCTTTTACACGTTGCTTCTTGTTTTTCTTGTGGTTTCCTTACCTAAATCTCATCCTGAGACTCACCACCCATGATATTTCATTGGCTGCCAATATAAAAGAGCAAGTGATAAAACCAATTCCTGTCCAGCACCTCAGCAGAAATCAATACCAGGTCTCTGGTGTGACAATTCCACAGCTCTGTATACCGAGCTAAAGATGCATTGTTTGTCAGCTGAGTGACATAGACCTTATTAAATACAGTTATATGTACAAGTTAAAAACATTCAGTTCCTTTTACAGTGGCTTCAACAGTTTTCACTGTTGTAGATTTAATAAGAAGATGGTTCCACTGGAAAAAAATACATCTCACTAGAGGGGATGGGATACTGGTTTTTGCTATACCTTAACTAAGTCTGAAATTCCAGATGTTTACCCCAGAACAATGGTTACCGGTCAACATCTTGATATTGACTGTTTATGTCAGAACTCATTACTACTTAGTATTCCTAGTCGTTACTTGACAGTTTCCGCCATTATCATTTATATTTATCTATAACGATTCATTTTCTTAGATATTAACAGCAGAAGGTATAACAAAACATTTGTAGACTGGATTTTTGGTTAACATGTGTTATGTTGAACAAGTCATCAATTGTATAATATTCTAGTAACACTGAAGATGAGAACTCCCTTGATTTAGAGTAAGTGACTTAGCATCAATGTTACAAGTTGTAAAGTTTTACTTGGAATTTGGTGTAAGTTTAACCAATCACAAATGCATACTGTATCTACTTTTCCTTTGTTGAAAGTCATTTATATCGAACCCTGTTGTGCAACAACAAATGTTGTTATTGTTACTTTTTATATGAACATCACCTGGTAAGCACAGGAAAATAAGAAAGGAAAAAAATACTCACATTGCTTACATATACCTAATCTTTAAAAATTAAGAGACAGAAAGCTGAGAAATTTCTTATCAAACATGCTAACTTTTATGACAGGCACTTTCAATTAACAGGATGTGTTATTAAAAAAAACACCCTTATGTGATTTATTTTTTGTGAACAACAGAGATATCACCCTATATTTTATACCATATTCCACTGTAAATGTAAAGAAAATCATTTTTAAATCATCAATGGTGCTAAAAAGCTGAGTAATTTTCAAGTAGAAATATTAAGCTTTCAAGATTAATAATTAAAACTCAATCATGTTTTTTTTGTTACGAAGATGGGCTTTACTTCTTGCAAAATGACTTCAGATGGGAGGGTCATTTCTATAACTTGACACTTCCTAAAGGCAATATCTGATGGAGGAAGTATGCTAATTAATCAATCCACTTAGAATTATACTAACTAGATTGATTTTTATACTTCATCTCAAACTGTTGAGAATTTCAACATGTATGTTTATATCACTTAAATGCATACCCAAGTTTTATGAACATTCCTTATGCTAAGATTGATTAAAAAGGTAAATAGGGGGCATTATGACTTGTTCTACAGAAGTGATGTTAAAAGTCCTTATTGTTTATTTCATGACTGCTTCTCCACATACATTTTATAATGATTTATTTTTGTTTCTAAAGGCCTTCATTCTGCCAAACCTGGAGTCCAATGTGAATCAGTAATTCGTTTTCCTAGACTATTTGAGAAATATCCATTTCCTATTCTCATCAACTCTGCCTTTCTCAGGCTGTCCGATGTCTTTAGGACTGGGTAAGTAAACTTTTTGATTTAGTCAAACTAGTATTTATTGACTTTATTTCGTATGATCAATTTATGTCATCAATTAAAACACAATGTGATGATACATTTACTTACATATCACATCTTTTAGACCTAATAACTGAGGGAGCCATTGTTTACATAAACCTGAAATCCCAAAATGTAGTCCTAATTCATAAACATAATTATATCCTAAAAGTAAATACATGGTAGTTTTGCACACATTTAATTATTAACCAAAAGAATTTTTTAGGTAAGTGTGTATTTATTCAATTTTTTGGTAACTTTATCAGTCACTTCTTCCAATCTTATAGAAATAACTTTCTGCGGTGGTGCATTCTGAGAGTAACACTACAGAGCGAGAAACATTTGGACAAAATCCTCAACGTTGATGAGTTTGTACGAAGGATATTTTCTGTCATACATAGTAATGATCCCGTGGCGAGAGCCCTCACCCTCAGGTTTGTTAATTAAACCATTTACCCAGGCTTAGTTCTGTTTGCATTTTCTTATAAAAATAAAGTTATAAACAAACCACTTTTGGCAGATATGGTGTTTGGAACCTCATGGACTTAATAAGTTCATCCATGACAGTTTGCTTCCCTATATAAAATAAAAGACCTTATCAGGTGACTTAATGTTGACTTTTATTGATATAAATCTTCAATAACTTTTACATTTTGAACTACCATTTTATTGTAACCTTCAGACTTCCAGTAACTGTAATTCATTTCTGTTGAATAGAACTTTGGGAAGCATGGCTAGTGTGATTCCAGAGCGTAAAACTGTCCACCACACTATAGTCTCTGGTCTGGATTCCAATGATCGCCTTGAAGTAGATGCAGCTGTGTTTGCAGCGAAACGATTTGCAGCCCAGTCACGGTGAGCATGTAGAATAAGTAACTAGTGGTATAGTGTTCAACTGTTAGTACATTCTGCAAATTGTACTATAAAGTATGAATTGGAATGTAAATCCTACTAAAAGATTTATTGTACTTTTGAATTAAATTGTATTTTTAACACAAGTATATTTTACAAATTGATGACTTTTTCATCATTCCTTACCTGCATTGTTGGTTTCATCTTCAGCACTTTTGCCGCTAACATCTGCAGTAAGATTGCAACGATGATAGAAAAGATTGCCACTCCAGTGGAACTGAAATTGAGACTTATTCCTATCCTTCAACACATGCACCATGATGTAGACACAGCAGCAAAGGTAACACAGCAAATTAGTACAACATATTGAACATTGTATGTAACACATGCTTACAACTATTGACCAAAAATTACTTCTGTTACTCTTTGTTTGTGTCAGGATTTATTTGATAAATGTGAGACCAGGTGAGTTTGTCGGGATTTACTTGTTTTTACAGGCCAGAGGGGTTTGTCGGGATTTACTTGTTTTTACAGGCCAGAGGTGTTTGTCGGGATTTACTTGTTTTTACAGGCCAGAGGTGTTTGTCGGGATTTACTTGTTTTTACAGGCCAGAGGGGTTTGTCAGGACTTACTTGCCAGTTTCCCTGCTCAGAAATTTATAACCTTGACTCTGCACACAATGACACAACTAGCTGCCCAGTCATTGGTGGATATCGAGTCACATGTACAGTTGTTGATGTCCTGCCTAAGAAAAGATCCAAGGACTGTGGTGAAGTTTGTCATACTAAGAGACATGAACAGTCTAGCACGAAAGACTCCTCATCTGTGGACTGATATATCTGTAGAGGTAGGAACATTGTAAATAAAGGCATCATTATTTGTGGTAAATGTTGATTTTTTTTTTCAAATTTTCTCACATTCAGTCTTTAAATGTGTAAGGTAGAAAATTTTGTAGGGTGAGTTTGATTGATGACCATATTTCCATATAATGCAGGTACATATACTGATAACTCCAACCAATCACTGACGTGCTTCCAAATGTTGAGGCATGTAGAGATAGTGTCTGATTGCTCTGCTCCAACGAAATTGAAATGTCAAGTTAAGCTGTAATCATCTAGACATATGCATGATAGCTACCACTTTTACTATACTTGTAGATCCTTTATAGTAAGGTTCTTGGTTCATTTGGTTTTACCTGATCAATAGCAGTTATCTCCCTTGACCTTAGTTTTCAGACCAGTGTTCATTTGAGCAAGATTTCAGAAAAATAATTCTGCAGTTATTGAAATTCTCTGCACCAGTCATAAAAAGAATCAGAAATCATCAGTGATCATCAGAAAATGTTAATCATACAAATAAAATCAAATAAAAGTACAAGAGGATATTAGAAAGTTGTGAGCCTCGCACATTGACTTTAATACCTACCTCTTGCTGGATATAGTTGTTAACTTCCAACAACATTATTTTAAGAGGCATACCCCAAATGAGTTAATAAAATGTTAAGTTTCTTGTCCTGTATGGTCAGACTGACAAACAGATTGAAGAGTATGTGCCCTTTATTGGGAGTCTTTCCTGTCTTCTACAACTATCAAACACTAAATGAAGGCAAGCCATTGGGCAGAGTTTACTCAGGACAGTGTACAAACAAATGATAGAAAACCAATGGGTTATTGTCTCCGAGTTTGTAGAGGCAGCATACCTTCCATGTGGATCCATACATGGCATACTTCATGAGTATTGTCATTTTGTTTGACAGGCACTATGTGAGTTTGTGCTGAGTGCGGAGACCCTTGCCTTGAAGACTGCTGGTCTTGATGTCCTGTCCACACTTTCCGGCTCTGTGGCCTTCCAGCTGTACATGCAGAAGGATGGTAACCAAAATACTTCTATTGCTACAAATTTCCTTTCTTTTATTTATACTAATTTTAACACAAAACAGTTATCGGATGGGTCAGATGTTTTGTTCGGTCTGGACTTTTTGTCTTCTTTATCTTAGTAAATTAAATGCAGATGATTCCAACACTGTTGAGTCCAATTCTACTAAAATTTCCATTTTTGTGTCAAACATTCAGGCGTCACTTTGTCTCGGGTAAAAGGTTCCTAGCTTTGGTCCTAATGACTGAGTGTGATTGGTCAGTCATATCTGTGTTAACAAGCCCTATTGTAATTTTCTATCAAACATTAATCCCTGCATTTACAGAGGTGCACAGATGAAGGTTAGAACTGATATAGAATTAAGCAACCAATCTGAAAATAAAATACACTGTAGTCTGTTAACCGTAAATCCACCGTGTTTTGTTTACGTTTTTTATGATCATGGCTGCCAGAAATCTAAAAGGAAAAAACAAGCGATAATTTCCGTACTGATGCAGTTTAATAAAAATGCTAGTGTGTCATTGACACATTAGTTTAGGATTTTAGATACATTTACTGGATATACATGTTCATATACACACTGCTAGTTTCATTATATTCTATTTACGATATACATTCTTACGGTGCTGTACGTGGAAAGGTAAAGATATGCTTCAGTGACATTGACGCAGCCTTCATCTTTTTGTAGTCCACCTTAGTGCTATTGAGGTTTTATGAATGTAGATTGTTCATGATTTATTTTAAAATATTGTTGACAGGACTTGTTACTCTTAGCATTGGAGAAGCAGAGTATTTGCTTTGTGTTGTAGTGTTGATTAAACAGATAAAGACTGTAATACAGAGAAAAAATTTTGTATTGTAGTATCGGAGAAGCAGATGAGAACTATACTAGAAGTCTGTAATCTGTGCTATCTCTGTGACAATGCCAGTCTTTCAGCCACAGCCACGCACTTCTTCACAAATGTCGCCATCTGTCACAAAAAAAGTAGTAAGTTCAAGATGTTGTTGGTACTGAAAGTTATGAAGTGATATACAAAGAGTTGTAGCCCATTGTTAATGTAGGATTTGTATGTATTAATCAAAACACTCCTGCTCTCTGTCAAATTGATAATAAATCACTGGATTTTATATGTCAGCAATGTAAAAAGTAAATAACTACTCAGCTGTCTTAAAAGATTTTTAGTTGGTTTTTCAGACTGTCCCGTTTGGACTCCAGACCAAGATATTGTAGCTGGTGCACGCCTCTCTCTCACTACTCAGATCTGTTTATCAGCCTGGAGCACTGAATCACAGGATCAGGCTGCTCTCAAGGTATAAAAAAATTACTTATATTTGTCAATATAATTACCATACATTTACCAGATGTATTTCATGTGAAAATTAGCGAGACACTTAAAACAAAAGATTGTGTATGGATATGAGGGAATGTGATAAGATGGACATCAGGCCACAGTACAATGGCAGACTGATGTACATTATTTATGCTGCGATAAGCTCAGACAACGAAACATTTACTCTGAATTAAAGTCAGACGGTGGACATGTAATGGTCTAACTCAAAGTCAGGCAGTGGACATATTATGGTCTAACTTAAAGTCAGGCAGTGGACATATTATTGGACATATTATGGTCTAACTTAAAGTCAGGCAGTGGACATATTATTGGACATATTATGGTCTAACTCAAAGTCAGGCAGTGGACATATTATGGTCTTACTCAAAGTCAGGCAGTGGACATATTATGGGACATATTATCAAAGTCAGGCAGTGGACATATTATGGACTCAAAGTCAGGCAGTGGACATATAATGCTCAAAATCAAAGTCAGACACTCCACAAAAAATGTTCTAACTCAAAGTCAGACAGTGGACATATTATGGTCTAACTCAAAGTCAGGCATATTATGGTCTATTCAAAGTCAGGCAGTATTATGGTCTAACTCAAAGGACATATTATGGTCTAACTCAAACTCAGTCAGTGGACATATTATGGTCTAACTCAAAGTCAGGCAGTGGACATATTATGGTCTAACTCAAAGTCAGGCAGTGAACATATTATGGTCTAACTCAAAGTCAGACAGTGGACATATTATGGTCTAACTCAAAGTCAGGCAGTGGACATATTATTGGACATATTATGGTCTAACTCAAAGTCAGGCAGTGGACATATTATGGTCTAACTCAAAGTCAGGCAGTGGACATATTATGGTCTAACTCAAAGTCAGACAGTGGACATATTATGGTCTAACTCAAAGTCAGGCAGTGGACATATTATGGTCTAACTCAAAGTCAGGCAGTGGACATAATATTGGACATATTATGGTCTAACTCAAAGTCAGACAGTGGACATATTATGGACATATTATGGTCTAACTCAAAGTCAGGATATTATGGTCTAACTCAAAGTCAGGCAGTGGACATATTATGGTCTAACTCAAAGGTCTAACTCAAAGTCAGGCAGTGGACATATTATGGTCTAACTCAAAGTCAGGCAGTGGACATATTATGGACATATTATGGTCTAACTCAAAGTCAGGCAGTGGACATATTATATTATGGTCTAACTCAAAGTCAGGCAGTGGACATATTATGGTCTAACTCAAAGTCAGGCAGTGGACATATTATGGTCTAACTCAAAGTCAGGCAGTGGACATATTATGGTCTAACTCAAAGTCAGACAGTGGACATATTATGGTCTAACTCAAAGTCAGGCAGTGGACATATTATGGTCTAACTCAAAGTCAGGCAGTGGACATATTATGGTCTAACTCAAAGTCAGGCAGTGGACATATTATGGTCTAACTCAAAGTCAGGCAGTGGACATATTATGGTCTAACTCAAAGTCAGGCACATATTATGGTCTAACTCAAAGTCAGGCAGTGGACATATTATGGTCTAACTCAAAGTCAGGCAGTGGACATATTATGGTCTAACTCAAAGTCAGGCAGTGGACATATTATGGTCTAACTCAAAGTCAGGCAGTGGACATATTATGGTCTAACTCAAAGTCAGGCAGTGGACATATTATGGTCTAACTCAAAGTCAGGCAGTGGACATATTATGGTCTAACTCAAAGTCAGGCAGTGGACATATTATGGTCTAACTCAAAGTCAGGCAGTGGACATATTATGGTCTAACTCAAAGTCAGGCAGTGGACATATTATGGTCTAACTCAAAGTCAGGCAGTGGACATATTATGAGTCAGGCAGTGGACATATTATGGTCTAACTCAAAGTCAGGCAGTGGACATATTATGGTCTAACTCAAAGTCAGGCAGTGGACATATTATGGGACATATTATGGTCTAACTCAAAGTCAGGCAGTGGACATATTATGGTCTAACTCAAAGTCAGGCAGTGGACATATTATGGTCTAACTCAAAGTCAGGCAGTGGACATATTATGGTCTAACTCAAAGTCAGACAGTGGACATATTATGGTCTAACTCAAAGTCAGGCAGTGGACATATTATGGTCTAACTCAAAGTCAGGCAGTATTATGGTCTAACTCAAAGTCAGGCAGTGGACATATTATGGTCTAACTCAAAGTCAGACAGTGGACATATTATGGTCTAACTCAAAGTCAGGCAGTGGACATATTATGGTCTAACTCAAAGTCAGTCAGCAGTGGACATATTATGGTCTAACTCAAAGTCAGGCAGTGGACATATTATGTCTAACTCAAAGTCAGGCAGTGGACATATTATGGTCTAACTCAAAGTCAGGCAGTGGACATATTATTGGACATATTATGGTCTAACTCAAAGTCAGGCAGTGGACATATTATGGTCTAACTCAAAGTCAGGCAGTGGACATATTATGGTCTAACTCAAAGTCAGGCAGTGGACATATTATGGTCTAACTCAAAGTCAGGCAGTGGACATATTATTGGACATATTATGGTCTAACTCAAAGTCAGGCAGTGGACATATTATGGTCTAACTCAAAGTCAGGCAGTGGACATATTATGGTCTTACTCAAAGTCAGGCAGTGGACATATTATGGGACATATTATGGTCTAACTCAAAGTCAGGCAGTGGACATATTATTGGACATATTATGGTCTAACTCAAAGTCAGGCAGTGGACATATTATTGGACATATTATGGTCTAACTCAAAGTCAGGCAGTGGACATATTATGGTCTTACTCAAAGTCAGGCAGTGGACATATTATTGGACATATTATGGTCTAACTCAAAGTCAGGCAGTGGACATATTATGGTCTAACTCAAAGTCAGGCAGTGGACAGTGGACATATTATGGTCTAACTCAAAGTCAGGCAGTGGACATATTATGGTCTAACTCAAAGTCAGGCAGTGGACATATTATGGTCTAACTCAAAGTCAGGCAGTGGACATATTATGGTCATATTATGGTCTCTCAAAGTCAGGCAGTGGACATATTATGGTCTAACTCAAAGGGCACATATTATGGTCTAACTCAAAGTCAGGCAGTGGACATATTATGGTCTAACTCAAAGTCACGCATTGGACCGGCAGTGGACATATTATGGTCTAACTCAAAGTCAGGCAGTGGACATATTATGGTCTAACTCAAAGTCAGGCAGTGGACATATTATGGTCTAACTCAAAGTCAGGCAGTGGACATATTATTGGACATATTATGGTCTAACTCAAAGTCAGGCAGTGGACATATTATGGTCTAACTCAAAGTCAGGCAGTGGACATATTATGGTCTAACTCAAAGTCAGGCAGTGGACATATTATGGTCTAACTCAAAGTCAGGCAGTGGACATATTATGGTCTAACTCAAAGTCAGGCAGTGGACATATTATGGTCTAACTCAAAGTCAGGCAGTGGACATATTATGGTCTAACTCAAAGTCAGGCAGTGGACATATTATGGTCTAACTCAAAGTCAGGCAGTGGACATATTATGGTCTAACTCAAAGTCAGACAGTGGACATATTATGGTCTAACTCAAAGTCAGGCAGTGGACATATTATTGTCAGAGTGGACATATTATGGTCTAACTCAAAGTCAGGCAGTGGACATATTATGGTCTAACTCAAAGTCAGGCAGTGGACATATTATGGTCTAAAGTCAGGCAGTGGACAGTGGACATATTATTGGACATATTATGGTCTAACTCAAAGTCAGGCAGTGGACATATTATGGTCTAACTCAAAGTCAGGCAGTGGACATATTATTGGACATATTATGGTCTAACTCAAAGTCAGACAGTGGACATATTATGGTCTAACTCAAAGTCAGGCAGTGGACATATTATGGTCTAACTCAAAGTCAGGCAGTGGACATATTATATTATGGTCTAACTCAAAGTCATTCAGTGGACATATTATGGTATTAATCAAAGTCAGTCAGTTGACATATTATGGGACATATTATGGTCTAACTCAAAGTCAGGCAGTGGACATATTATGGTGTCAGGCAGTGGACATATTATGGTCTAACTCAAAGTCAGGCAGTGGACATATTATTGGACATATTAAGATCAAACTAAAGGACACCCATAGCACATAGGTCTTAATGGTCTTACTCAAAGTCAGGCAGTGGACATATTATTGGACATATTATGGTCTAACTCAAAGTCAGGCAGTGGACATATTATGGTCTAACTTAAAGTCAGGCAGTGGACATATTATTGGACATATTATGGTCTAACTCAAAGTCAGGCAGTGGACATATTATGGTCTAACTCAAAGTCAGGCAGTGGACATATTATTGGACATATTATGGTCTAACTCAAAGTCAGGCAGTGGACATATTATGGTCTAACTCAAAGTCAGGCAGTGGACATATTATGGTCTAACTCAAAGTCAGGCAGTGGACATATTATGGTCTAACTCAAAGTCAGGCAGTGGACATATTATGGTCTAACTCAAAGTCAGGCAGTGGACATATTATGGTCTAACTCAAAGTCAGACAGTGGACATATTATGGTCTTACTCAAAGTCAGGCAGTGGACATATTATTGGACATATTATGGTCTAACTCAAAGTCAGGCAGTGGACATATTATTGGACATATTATGGTCTTACTCAAAGTCAGGCAGTGGACATATTATTGGACATATTATGGTCTAACTCAAAGTCAGGCAGTGGACATATTATGGTCTAACTTAAAGTCAGGCAGTGGACATATTATGGTCTAACTCAAAGTCAGACAGTGGACATATTATGGTCTAACTCAAAGTCAGGCAGTGGACATATTATGGTCTAACTCAAAGTCAGACAGTGGACATATTATGGTCTAACTCAAAGTCAGACAGTGGACATATTATGGTCTAACTCAAAGTCAGACAGTGGACATATTATGGTCTAACTCAAAGTCAGGCAGTGGACATATTATGGGACATATTATGGTCTAACTTAAAGTCAGGCAGTGGACATATTATGGGACATATTATGGTCTAACTCAAAGTCAGACAGTGGACATATTATGCTCTAACTCAAAGTCAGGCAGTGGACATATTATTGGACATATTATGGTCTAACTCAAAGTCAGACGGTGGACATGTAATGGTCTAACTCAAAGTCAGGCAGTGGACATATTATGGTCTAACTTAAAGTCAGGCAGTGGACATATTATGGGACATATTATGGTCTAACTTAAAGTCAGGCAGTGGACATATTATGGGACATATTATGGTCTAACTCAAAGTCAGACAGTGGACATATTATGCTCTAACTCAAAGTCAGGCAGTGGACATATTATTGGACATATTATGGTCTAACTCAAAGTCAGACAGTGGACATATTATGCTCTAACTCAAAGTCAGACAGTGGACATATTATGCTCTAACTCAAAGTCAGGCAGTGGACATACACTACCATTACCAAATATTACCAAATATAGGTTTATTGTTGTATATGAGAATTATGTAGTAAAGACATATCTTGTCATATGATCACATGTTGGTGTATATTACACATGAGTTCATGTTAATTAAGTCAGGTGGTCAGACAGGAATTGGAATGTTTAAAGGTTGAAATGATGTTTAATTGAATAAAGGTGTTTGTTTGGACCATTCTAGATACTTGATTTGTACTATAAATTTGTTCTTGATGTTGCAGGTTTGTCTCCATTGTGCTGTTAGACTGGCTGAGGTCTACCCTGAGACTGGCCCTTTCTTCGCCGCAGAAATAGTACAACTTCTAGAAATGGCCAATGGTATGAGACTTATGTTTGTCTTTTAATCTGTGAGGATCTTTACAGTATTTTAGGACCTGAAATTCATAGTACTTGTAAATAGTTTGTAAAATCCAAAGAAAGAGAGAGAAGTATTGTTAGATTTTACCTGAGCAGTAGTCAGTACTATTTCTCAGTGTTACTGACAATGCATCGCTATTTAATTTACAGGGGATCTTGGGCAATATCAGATTAAAAATTGGATGGAAGGAAGGGGGTGGGGGAGTGGGGGGGTTGAGGAGAGAAAGAGATGGGGAGAGAGAAAAACACCAATATCATTAGCTCAGTCACCCATGTCTCGCATACTTAAAAGATTTTATACATAAACATGTTTATACTTGGAACACCTTTTGACATGTATACCAATCTACAGTATAAGATAACTGTAATCAGACGGGTCTCTTTCCACAGATAAAAACTGCCTCATGTTGTGTGAATGTCTGGCAGCCATTGGAGAACAGAACAGTGATGTTATTCTAGACATTGTGCCACAACTGTTGCACATTTTCCAAAATCTCGGCCAACAACCCAAAGTTTCAGGTCAATTTAAAGTAGGTGTCAAACTAAATCAAAATACCATCAATGCCATTGTTCCTTTTGAGAAATTCATGCATAAGTCTTAATTAACAAATTTCCGAAATGATTTTACTACAAAGTTACTCAATGATGTTCAGCTGAGTTTGAAACAAGAATTTACACCAATTTGTCTTACTATATTGTCTGTGTTATATGTGTCATCATAATTATAATTCAGTTTGGTGTCACAGTAGGGAGTACATTTCTCATTATCAGTAAATAATTATTTGTAAATAATGAAATGAAAGTCCTAGTGCGTAAAGAAATAATTTCCACTTGTTTCTTATATACATATATGTTGATCAATTAAAGTTATATTTTTATTTGTGTTTTCAGACCTATATTGGCACTCTATTGTTCCAAGCTGCAGATGGCAAGCCCATCCCAACGAATGTTAGAGAGCTTGTGATTAAAGATATGGAATCTGCAACCAGTCCTTGGTTTGCTTACAAACTAGGCCGTCAAGCTATGCGGTATGGCCAGTACCATGTGGCTACGGACCTGTTCAGCATGTTGTCACGGAGAGTAGCATCAGAGCACTTCCATTTCTGGATGCTGGGTTTACACGAGATCTGCAATGCTGAAGCTCACCTCTGGGATGTTGGAACAGGAAGTGATATCATGAGAATAGATGATACCATGATGCATTACCAAAAAGGACTAGCTGCTCTCAAAGTAAAATAATTTAATTGATTTATTTCACAAACATATGTACCACTATTTTGAATCAGTCACACTGTCATCAAGTGGATACTATAGATACTTTTAAACCAAAGCAATTTCTCTAAACTGATCAGAATTGATGAGATGTAACCTTCCTCTTCGGTTATGTTACTTCTGAGATATTTGTATTAAGAAGCCCTTGAAATCTGTTTGTTGTAGGCAGCTGCGACACCTAATTCCCCGCTCCAGTTCCAGTGCTGGTATGTGCGTCTGAGGACCGAACTGCTCCAGGTCCACTGCCAGTTGGTGCGTAACTGTAACACCTTTCGTACCTGTCCTCCACCAGCAATATCCACTGCTCTGGCCATGTCACGTGGCCGTGAGATTTCTCGCTGTGGACAGATCTTGTCTCAGGTCAGTGTATATATCACCATGTCTACAGGTCCACTGCTTGCCCATAATGATGTATGTATCGGTTAATTATCTTCTAGTACTAATAGGTAATGTAATGAGTAACTAAACAACACAACAGAACATAAAAGGAAGTATGAATGAGGGTTTTTAGGTCACCCGAGACAAAGTCTCATGGTGACCTATTCTTATACCCTTCATCCAGCGTCATGCATCTGTAAATAATTTAACACTTTCTACTTCTCAAAAAACTTGATCTGATTTCAATGAAACCTTCCCTGGCCTAAGTTGAACCAAAATTGTGAATTATACAGTCCTCACTAGCTTACTATATTCAGTGTCACAATTTCTGTTTCATGACACTTGATAACTATCCTTTAACCTTTATATTCAATATTGCTTATCTCAGGTGACTGTCAAGGTCGCTAGGCCTCTTGTTTTTCTACAACTTACCATTACTCGTCCTTTTTCACTCTTTTGATATGTTAATAATGATCAATAGAACACTGTGTCTGTCATGTAAAATATAAAACCATTCTCATGCTGAAACTTATTTTAAGAGGTCAAACTCAAAAGCTAAATTTCAGTGAGAAATTACCTTTCTTAATCCGTTATATATGCTTTATATTTTGTTTACTTTGAATCCAATGCAAGATTTCTGTGCCAACAAATTGATTTAAACCCAGAACTAGAGTTTCAGAATGATTTATCTAAAGTTTATGTGATTAACTTATTTTTACATTTGACTGCAGCTCAACAAGAGTATGGGTGATTATGAAAGTCTAAGCACCAAGTTTTCTGCCCTGTACCAATCCTCCTTTGATGCTGACCCGAATACACTGAGGAACATCATATTGTATCCTTTAAAGTACATGGAATCACATTACCTCCTTTGTATCTATAATGCATGAAGATTTTATTGAGGAATAGTTTTCATTTGGTTTGTTTAGCTAGCAGGTAACATTTCACTGAGTCTAACTGATCAACACCATTAAAATCAGAACAACACTACAATGACTTATCATGCCAATAAGAGATTAAGTTTACTAAATTGCTATTTACTTAATCTGTTATAGTCTTGTAATGCTATTCTCATCCCTCCACTACATATACTGCCATGACAATCCTTCCATGTCTTTCAAAACACATAAACTTTACCAAACATTTACCTCCCTCCTTTGCTACAATATGTCCTTGACATTGTTCAGACTCCAGCAGTGTTGTGAGGTGATGAAATCAGCCATATTGTCTGTTGTCAAGCCAGACTCACCAGGGTACGATTCTATGATGACTTGGTCTTGTGTTAATCTATTTTACTCATTTCTAGTGATTGAATGTTAAGTTGGATAATGAAAGATTCTTAATATATTGTGATTGCATACTTTAAAAACCTTACTTTTGTGGTCTGTTTATACATTTGTGCCTTTTTAAATGAGAGTTAAGAATATGATTTTTTATGAAAGTATAGTTTAAACATGTACATAGTTTCAAACTTTTTCGTATTTTCATAATTTTTGTAAGGACAAGTGAATGCCCAGACTGGCAGTGACTAGAATATCCTCTGATTACAGGTGTCAGCAGCAGATTTGGATGCCAACAACCTCATGTCACAAAGACCAGTTAAGTAAGGCAGTGCAGCAAGTACAGCTTGATATAGATAGTTCCTTACAGGGAGACCATGGCCAGGCTCTCACACACAAGGTAACTCTCCCACACAAGGTAACTCTCCCACACAAGGTAACTCTCCCACACAAGGTAACTCTCCCACACAAGGTAACTCTCCCACACAAGGTAACTCTCCCACACAAGGTAACTCTCCCACACAAGGTAACTCTCCCACACAAGGTAACTCTCCCACGCAAGGTGAAGTATATATATAATCCAGGCTCTCACACACAAGGTAACTCTCCCAGGCAAGGTGAAGTATATATATATAATCCAGGCTCTCACACACATGGTAACTCTCCCACACAAGGTAACTCTCCCACACAAGGTAACTCTCCCACACAAGGTAACTCTCCCACGCAAGGTAACTCTCCCAGGCAAGGTGAAGTATATATATATAATCCAGGCTCTCACACACAAGGTAACTCTCCCAGGCAAGGTAACTCTCCCACGCAAGGTAACTCTCCCACGCAAGGTAACTCTCCCACACAAGGTAACTCTCCCACGCAAGGTAACTCTCCCAGGCAAGGTGAAGTATATATATATAATCCAGGCTCTCACACACAAGGTAACTCTCCCAGGCAAGGTGAAGTATATATATATAATCCAGGCTCTCACACACAAGGTAACTCTCCCAGGCAAGGTAACTCTCCCACGCAAGGTAACTCTCCCACGCAAGGTAACTCTCCCACGCAAGGTAACTCTCCCACGCAAGGTAACTCTCCCACGCAAGGTAACTCTCCCACGCAAGGTAACTCTCCCACACAAGGTAACTCTCCCAGGCAAGGTGAAGTATATATATATAATCCAGGCTCTCACACACAAGGTAACTCTCCCAGGCAAGGTGAAGTATCTATATATATACTCCAGGCTCTCACACACAAGGTACATACTATATATATAATCCAGGGTCACACACAAGGTACATACTATATATATAATCCAGGGTCACACACACAAGGTACAGTCTATATATATAATCCAGGGTCACACACACAAGGTACAGTCTATATATATAATCCAGGGTCACACACAAGGTACATACTATATATATAATCCAGGCTGTCACACACAAGGTACAGTCTATATATATAATCCAGGCCGTCACACACACAAGGTACATTCTATATATATAATCCAGGCCGTCACACACACAAGGTACATTCTATATATATAATCCAGGGTCACACACACAAGGTACAGTCTATATATATGATCCAGGCTGTCACACACAAGGTACAGTCTATATATATAATCCAGGCCGTCACACACACAAGGTACATTCTATATATATAATCCAGGGTCACACACACAAGGTACATACTATATATATAATCCAGGCTGTCACACACAAGGTACATACTATATATATAATCCAGGGTCACACACAAGGTACAGTCTATATATATAATCCAGGGTCACACACACAAGGTACAGTCTATATATATAATCCAGGGTCACACACACAAGGTACATTCTATATATATAATCCAGGGTCACACACACAAGGTACAGTCTATATATATAATCCAGGCTGTCACACACACAAGGTACAGTCTATATATATAATCCAGGCCGTCACACACACAAGGTACATTCTATATATATAATCCAGGGTCACACACACAAGGTACATTCTATATATATAATCCAGGCTGTCACACACACAAGGTACAGTCTATATATATAATCCAGGCTGTCACACACAAGGTACATACTATATATATAATCCAGGGTCACACACACGAGGTACACATATATATAATCACACACACACAAGGTACATATATATATATAATCCAGGCTGTCACACACACAATATATATAATCCAGGCTACACACACAAGGTACTATATATATATAATCCAGGCTGTCACACACAAGTTACAATCTATATATATAATCAAGGGTCACACACAAGGTACATACTATATATATAATCCAGGGTACACACACAAGGTATATATATAATCCAGGCTGTCACACACAAGGTACAGTCTATATATATAATCCAGGCTGTCACACACACAAGGTACAGTCTATATATATAATCCAGGCTGTCACACACACAAGGTACAGTCTATATATATAATCCAGGCTGTCACACACAAGGTACATAATATATTTATAATCCAGGGTCACACACACAAGGTACAGTCTATATATAATCTATATATATATATCCAGGCCGTCACACACACAAGGTACAGTCTATATATATAATCCACACACAAGGTACATTATATATATATAATCCAGGCTGTCACACACACATTCTATATATATAATCCAGGTCACACACAAGGTACATATATATATATATCCAGGCCGTCACACACACAAGGTACAGTCTATATATATAATCCAGGGTCACACACACAAGGTACAGTCTATATATATAATCCAGGGTCACACACACACACACAAGGTACAGTCTATATATATAATATATCACACACAATATATCCACACACCAGGCTGTCACACACACAAGGTACAGTCTATATATATAATCCAGGCTGTCACACACAAGGTACATACTATATATATAATCCAGGGTCACACACAAGGTACATACTATATATATAATCCAGGGTCACACACACAAGGTACAGTCTATATATATAATCCAGGCTGTCACACACACAAGGTACAGTCTATATATATAATCCAGGCAGTCTATATATATAATCCAGGCTGTCACACACAAGGTACAGTCTATATATATATAGGCTGTCACACACAAGGTCCATATATATAATCCAGGCTGTCACACACACAGGTACAGTCTATATATATAATCCAGGCTACAGTCTATATATATAATCCAGGCTGTCACACACACACAAGGTACATATATATAATCTATATATATAATCCAGGGTCACACACACAAGGTACAGTCTATATATAATCCAGGCCGTCACACACAAGGTACAGTCTATATATATAATCCAGGCTGTCACACACAAGGTACATAATATATTTATAATCCAGGGTCACACACACAAGGTACAGTCTATATATAATCCAGGCCGTCACACACAAGGTACAGTCTATATATATAATCCAGGCCGTCACACACAAGGTACATTATATATATATAATCCAGGCTGTCACACACAAGGTACATTCTATATATATAATCCAGGCCGTCACACACAAGGTACATACTATATATATAATCCAGGCCGTCACACACACATGGTACATTCTATATATATAATCCAGGGTCACACACACAAGGTACAGTCTATATATATAATCCAGGCCGTCACACACACGGTACATTCTATATATATAATCCAGGCCGTCAAACACAAGGTACATTCTATAAATATAATCCAGGCTGTCACACACAAGGTACATTGTACATAAGTAATCTAGATTCTCATTCACAAGGTAAAGTATCTATATAAGTAATCAAGGTTTTTGTACACAAGATAAATTCTACAAATATAATCCAGCCTCTGACACAAGGTAAATTGTACATAAGTAATCTAGGTTGTCACATAAACAAGGTAAATTCTACATATGTAATCCAGCCTCTCACACACGAAGTAGATTGTACATATGTAGTCTAGGCTTTCACACACAAAGTAAATTCTACATATGTAATCCAGCCTCTCACACATGCAATACATTCTACATATAAAATCTAAGCTTTCACACTCAGGGCACACACTATATATGTAGTCCAAACTGGTATAGGGATTAATATAGGAGTTTTTTTAATTATTGTAAGAATTAATATATTTTACTGAACATGTTACAATTTTATGCAATGTGAAGTTGATTTCTATTTCAGCATATTGACCTATTACTACAATCTGTTCGAGGGTTTATACAGGCCACCTTTAGATATCCCAGGTTCTTCTTCCAGCGTCTGCAGTGTACAACCCTCAAGGTAAACTCTTTTTTGTACAACACTTTGATTTTTCCAGCAGTGGTATTTCAAACTCCTTCAAATATGCCTGTATTTAATGGTCTGAAAATTCTGTATTCAAAACAATGTCATAGATCTAGCATTGATATATATATAATCAAACATGGCAGATAAATTCACTTACGTTTTCAGGCCCCGCGGCCATCTTCAGGCAATTGTACTACGTTACATAGTAACGTTAATAGCAATGTCTATTGTTTGATTTTCTATATATAGGAAACATAAAGCTTTTTTATTATATATATATGCTCTGATTTGTCTCCTACAAGCATTTCTAAAGATTTCATTTGGTTTGATGTGTGTTTGTAGCTGGCAGTATCTCCGCAACAAAATGCCCAGATGGAGCCCATCCTCATCCACCACAACACGTTACTTACCCTGAAAGTAGAGGGAATAGTCCAGCATGGTCAGCGACGCGAGCTTTATCGTAGTGTGGGTCAGGTTCGACTGACCGTAACTACTACACTGGTCAACAGAAGCCAGATTGTCACAGATACTAAGGTATATAATAAAGATAAAGTTGTTTAGTTGGACATTTGACAGAATCACTTTAGTCTGTATAAATTTAATTTAGATACAAAGTTATCATGTATGTTTGCAAATTTTTATATTCAAATTCAAGAAATTTTCATAAATTTTATACCGGATATCTCATACACATCATTAATCATCATTGAATTTTGAATGATATTCCAGATTCTTAGTTATTTACAATGTTTATCTTGTCTGATCCTGTAAGATTCATTTTTTTATTACTCTTGTTTAGACAATAAACCATGTTTTTGACCCTGCAGGTAAATGATTCCCAGACAACAAACACCTTGAGCCAGAGTGTTTCCCCACACAATGACTATTTCAGTGTTAGCTTCCTGTTGGCGTTCCCCATCAGTGGGGTACATTCCGTGTCAATAGAGGCTGCAGTGGAGGACCAGGATGGAGCTCTTTGGTGTACTGGTCCAAAGGTCTGCAGCACAGTCAAGTCTTATGATGATGCCATGATGAAAAAGCCAAAGGCTGCATCCATAAGGACTTCATTTGGGCAGATGCCAGGTCACTCATGACCAGTGTATATAACACTATATGTGTTCATGTTCATAAGATTGATTGAATGCTTCCGACAAAAGAATGTAAAGAACCGAAATTGGCAATATTCAAAATACGAGATTATTTATTTGAAGTGAATCCTCTATTATGACACTTCTGTTGTGACTCAGATTGCAGAAGTGGGGACCCTCCAATATAACACTTCTACTATATCTAGGATTAAAAGTGGGGACCCTCCAATATAACACTTCTACTGTATATAGGATTGTAAAAGTGGGGACCCTCCAATATTACACTTCTACTGTATCTAGGATTAAAAGTGGGGACCCTCCAATATAACACTTCTACTGTATATAGGATTAAAAGTGGGTACCCTCCAATACAACACTTCTACTGTATCTAGGATTAAAAGTGGGGACCCTCCAATACAACACTTCTACTGTATCTGGGATTAAAAGTGGTGACCCTCCAATATAACACTTCTATTGTGACTCGGATTGTAAAAGTGGGGACCCTCCAATATAACACTTCTACTGTGACTCGGATTGTAAAAGTGGGGACCCTCCAATACAACACTTCTACTGTATCTAGGATTAAAAGTGGGGACCCTCCAATACAACACTTCTACTGTAACTAGGATTTCAGAAGTGGGGACCCTCCAATATAACACTTCTACTGTGACTCGGATTGTAGAAGTGGGGACCCTCCAATATAACACTTCTACTGTGACTCGGATTTTATGAGCTGTGAGTAGGAAAGTTCATTAAGTGTCCATATTTGAATTTGTGGTAAGAATGGTAGTATGCACTTAGTATGGCCAGGTATGGATGAAGATTAAAATCTTTCAAGTCATGATGACACAGGCCATCAACTGTGTTATGCTTTACAAAGATATTGTTTCTCATAAATGAAAGCAAGTTGAAATGCATACAAAATGTTTTTTGTCTGCTGAGGACAGATGTCATAAATAAAGTGCTTAAACTTGATGTGTTTTTTTTTTATCAATCTAGAGAGTGTACATCAAAGTAGACGAAGATGTGTCACAACTTTCTTGGTTATGTAAATTCAGCATAAAGTTTAAAAAATATTAAATACAACAGTAATTGTGCTGCTTGTGAAGAGGATAAAATCTGAAAGACAGAATTTTTTTCAAACATAAGATGTGTATGTAAATCAAACACGATGCAACATGTCAAAGTTATGGATTCCTATTACTCCATGGCCATGTCTTGTATGCCGAGATTCACTATTTTGCTGTGTTTCGTGCATGGTACCTTGAGAAAGGCTTACAGAAGCTTGCAGGGAAAATTAATCCAGTTTGGTCGAGGGCGTTTGATAATTGGTTACAGAAATTTACTGGACAAAAGGTGATGCAAGACTGCAAATGGAATTGTCTCCCTTCGCACATATTTTCAAACCATCAAGTTTCTAAAGTCCAAAAGAATTTCAGTCAACAAACTGAACTATGTATTGTTACTCCCACACTTACGGTTTTTCAAGATGATCATCCAAAGTAACTTCTGTTCAAATACCACATAACCCTGGGTCATAGTTCTCAAAAGATAAACTTTCATGTATGGACAAGCTGCAGTAGTCAAACTTGAAAGGCATTTCTAGTACGTTGTCATCATCCTTCTTGTCAATTTACAGATATCACCTTCATAACATTTATTGCCTTTCTTTGTTGAAATCTTTTGGACACTAGTATTAAAGTTTCTGAAAGGATCTGTTTCAGAAAGTCAAAGTCTTCACTTACATTGAAAGCAAGACTAAATTTCAGAAACACCCCTCTTATTAGCCAGATTTGCTGTTAATTACCAAATATTTACCAGTTAAGAGCCATCATTCCAATAACTTTATATTTGACCTATCATGGTCATGTGACTTGTCAATCACATTTAATGCATTACTGTAAGCATTCTCAATCTGGTGCAATAAAACAGGCATATAAGCACAATGAATAAGCACATCCACAAATATTGCTATACAAGGCAAGTACAGAAGCTGAAAAAGCACAATCTTGTTTAAGCACTATCTATTCAGCACGAAAATCAGTAAAATAGAAAAAATTATTTACCAGTATGTGTCCATTCAAAGTCGTGACATGATGACATAATGCATATAATGAAATGATACACATTCTCTACATGCCATTATGTGTTTTGGCTCCAAAATGTGAACAATTCTTTCTGTTCTCTTGGTTCATTCTTGCAATATAGTGTTGAAAAAACAATGGAGAATTGAGTAATTTATGTACAATATTTTTATTATGATTCGATGGTTTTGTAATTCAAAAACAGAAGATGGTATGAATACAATTGAATAAATTAAGTTGTACAAAGTCAGGATATGATGACCAGCGGACAAAATATCTAATATTTTATCTGTTACCAGAAACGTATAAAAATCTTACCAATAATACTATGCTGAAACAAATTTAAATCTTGTCTATATACAATTTGATTTTAATTGTTAAATGTAACACATGGCTAAGATTGTACACAAAGGAAAATTGATGCTTACAGACCTGATCAAGTTTTATGATAATTTAATTTCACTTCATCATTTGGAATTCCAACCAGAAATCCTAGACAATCAACAATCATTTTATTTTTTGTCTAAATCCAAAACTAGAAATCTTACAGAAAATGCACCAAATTGCTGAATGTCACTTAACCAAAACTCCAGATGGTTCGAAGAATTAGTATTAAATGAGAAAAAACATAGAAGATGAATATGCGAATGTATTCCACTAAACCCAGACCCAGATTCCTGACATGGCACTGCTAGGGCAAAAAATTAATCCAGATCTCTTTCATTGCGCACAAATAGGTTTCAAACTGGACAGTTACCTTCCTTTCATACAGGTCAGTAAACAAAGTACAACAAATCCAGCTGTTGAAATGTTTCTCTTGAAATTGGACCCTTTAATTAGAATATTTTAGCATTATAAACTTATCTTTATGCAAGGAACAAGATAAAAATGAACTACATGTTGTCTGTGCTGTCACCATCAAACACATCTATAGCATACAGCATTTAGAAGGATTTCCCCAATCTTATATACATTAAACAATGCAAATTTCCTGCTAAATGCCAAACAAACCTCTGTATCCTATATGGTCAAGCATTGTGAGAACAGAACTCTATTTCAGTATCATTAGAGTTGTGAGACTTAAGAAACAAATCTGGGATGGAGTGGTGATATAACTATTTACAAGTACTAAAGATTTAGTACTATGTAACATACAAAAATAATGACAGGTGACTTTGTTGTATAAGCGATCCCTCGGTCTACACATAAATACTACTATTGTTCCTCTCATTCTCCATTCATATTTTAACAATAAACTGTACAAACGGGCAACATGTATGGCTGGTACACTCAGCAGATCACAGATCTGTCTCAGCTGCCACAGATTAACACTCTCACATCTATTGACCAAAGGAACAATGCTAACTCTCAAATCTCAGCGAAGTCTAGCACAATTCTTAACGTACTGCATTGAATAATGCAAACATGTACACAATTATTTAGCGAAATGTTTTTCAGAGAGATGAGTGGGGTTATCATGGATAGCCCTGTAGTCTCATAGGCATTTCATCGCAACTTAAACATCCATTTTGGTTAGAAAACAAAGAAAACTGCCCTTGTGACTACAAGTATCACTCCCTGCTAATTAAAACCATTTTCATTAAATAGCTTTAGAGAGATCTGATCAAAGATGAACACAAAAGTATGCAGTAATTATCAAACTGAATGTTATTTTTATATGACAATTGTTGACAGCACCAGCTGTTAAAACCAAACACACACACACACTCAACAGACAGCTGTGTTGAACCAACCCCCAAAACACTATATAGGAAGTATTCCAATCCACAATAGATATTTTGTCTCTCATTGGGCCTAATCCCCATGTATATTCCTTCCCCATGGAGATGGTTGCTGGCCACTTGGACCCTAGTGACACCAAATCCTCCCCTGTTCGATCTCAGCACATCCAGCTAACATACAACCATGGTGCCAGGAGTATTATTCAGACACGGACCGGCCTTAGGACGATTCCGACATACATAATTATTGTTACAACTGTGCTTTTTCACATCTCAGGCTTGTGAAAAAATACCTATTACATCAAAATTAGTTCTTTCATATTTTTAAAGTTCTCTCCAAGAAGTTAAATCTTACATCAGTCTACCATTTGAGCACTATGTGGAGAACAGGTGTCCTCTCACCTCTGACAGAGGCTCCACAATGACACAACAGGTGACTAGATTTTAGTCAAGGACCACAATATCCGATTCAGCCCCGCCCATTGCTGGCTTGATCAGCATGTTTTTCCAGGGATTTCGTGCTGTTCTTTTGAAATCTTGTGAGCTCCATTGCTTCCTTATTTTCCTAAAATAGAAAAAAACAATTCATCCAGTATACACAGATCATGGAGTTACAGTGACAACATTGAAACCACAACAAATCCAACCCAAAACCACAAAACTAAACAAACGCACGTGATGTTAATAACCCCAAGTCTATTAGTAGTGACTAATGTCAATCTCAGACGAGATGGTACTGTTTATGAATAAAATATGGCTAGAATTACTAGTGTCAAACAAAATGCAATGTCAGTTATGCAAACAGAAAACAATGGTTATTTTCAAAGAAAAAAAAAAGAAAAAAATGTACACAAGAGGTCATAATCAGAAGATAGAGAAAAGAGTGATTTTTTTTTCTTTTTCTTTTTTCAAAAGTTCTGTGATTGAATTAAAAAATTAATGAAATTGAAATGTTTAAGAAAAAAACCAATTTGTAATACCTGGTGGCGTCAGTAGCCACAAAGTATACATCATCGGGAGCATCTATCCAGTTTATCATGTGCATCTTCATTCCTTTTGACACTGGCATCTTGCCACGCCCATTCATATTGTGGTTCAGTACACTACCCCTCTGAAAATATATAATTATTTTAATTACTGACAAAATCTCGCCAATTCTATTTGCTTCCCATTTTTCCTTAAAAGCAGAAAAATCCTTTTTCAAGAATTTTGAAGAGCCCACTATGTGATTACTTTGTAAATTTTGTAGGTAGAACAACCCAATGATAATGAACAATAGCCCAATTGTAACCTAATTTGTGACATGTCATGCAAAAAAAATAACAAAACTGAAGTTAAACAACAAAGAGGTATAGGAACCAGGCAAAACATGATAGTTAGTTGGTGGTTGCAAGTGATTATATTACAACAGGGTTGGAAACAAGGCACTTTCGCACCTTGGAAAGGCTGCCACTACAGCTAATTACCATATTGTGCGACCTCATAGCTGAGCCGATCTGACGGATGACTCCCATGGACGGCCGCTTGGACGGTGGTCCTAGTCAACAAAGAAACAACAACAAATAAGACAGGCACAGATTCCCACCACCAACTTGGCTAACCCCTATATATAATTCCCCTAAGAGGGCTGAAAGGAATTTCTCTGTATCACCTCATTCAATCCACCTTAATCTACAAGTTTAGAATTAACTTTCAGCTGGTCTCATTGATGTCCTTTGTTATCTATACGTATAATAATAATCTTGCACATATTATGACAGCCAGTTCCTTATCTGAAAAGCAGGTTTAGAATTGTCAGGAAAAAAACGGATGACTTAGTTAAGGACACCTAGTAAGTGCTATTAGCACAATATTTTTTTTCAAACAGATAAGGGGTATGTTGAGGTTTGTCAATGATAAATGATATCAAATCTGCACTTGAAATGAGATTTATGCCATTACATGCATACACTTGATGTTGTTGCAGTCATTAATGTATAACCCATTCAAATCTATAAAGAATACTTGCATTTGTGAAACAATAAAATTACTGGTATCATAAAATCAAGAGTTTCACTAATAAAACCTTTCAATTTGAAAAAAAAAAAAAAAAAAAAACGAAAAATGAGATCCCATAAGTTCTTTAAAAGTTGAATCTTTTTCCCTTCTTTTTTCTTCTTTACTGTTTTTGTTAATAATCATTAATTACCAAAATAAAAAAAATGGTTCCCTGTGGGTCATTATGTTTTTCAGAGCAGTCCCAAAATCAAGGACAAAACAAGGGACCAAGAGGAACCTACATAGGAAATTCGAGACAAATCTACCATGTACCTCTGAAAAGATAGCAATTAGGGTTTTTGTTTTTAACTCAATTAGTTAATTGCCCATTTAATCTCATTTTTTTCAGAAGTATACTCCATAATTTTTTAAATTTGACTGTAATGAAATAAATCCAATTGGTAGTGCAGCCCATATTTGGCTACACAGAGCCCCTGGAAAAAGGCCTGGCAATAAAAATATATCAGAGTGACAGATGCCTTTAAGTCCTTTTTATTTTCTGATCAGTCACATAATCAACTGGGCACAAATATGGACCAAAGGGAACCTATGTATGAAATTTGAGACAGAGCCATCCAGTACTTCTCACTAAGTGACGATTGAGGGCTAAAAATGACACACATGCTAACATTCAGTCTATACTAACCATAAGTTAAGTTTATCATAAATGATCATTATCTACCAAAATCTTCACAAGTACAGTCAGAGAACATTATTTCTGATGTCAAAGAAAAATCTGGCAAGACAAAGTCAGAGGACAGTGACTTTTGGGATTCAGATATTCAAGTCCTCGATTACAATTTCATATGCAAATTTAAACACTTGAGGTACATTACAAAGTATTAATATTAGAACAAAACTTTTCATGTTTATATACTCTCAAACATTTAATGAGTCAAGAGCCCTCATAGTTACACAATTCCTATGATATGGTATGACAGTGACGCTAATATAACAACTCCATGTAAACTTGATGTTTACAAACATTTTTAACTGATTCTAAATGTTTTCAATTCATCCTTACAACAAAGACAGCTGTCCTATGGCCTTATTTGCAGAATCTGGGTTCCTCATTTGAACTTTGAGCAAGATGACCCTAAATTTTTAAACTTTCAGTATTGTCTTTGACAGTTTTTCTGACCCAAAAAACTTGATGCAAAAGCAAGACAGCTGCGAGAAATTTAAATAATGACCTACTTTTCTACTTTCAATGTATCTCTGGATTTGCATGGCTACAGATAGAGTGAAAACAAGGAGAAAAATTCTTTGTGAAAGACTGTAACAAACTAACAATAACAGGTGACACACAAAATAACATGATACATACCATCTATACCATTACTCTGTTCATATCCTCTCTTCTTCATGATTGACGGTGAACCACTGATCACCATTGAGGAGGGTTCTGTGTCCACAGCTTTAGGTTCTGAAGAGGAGTCAATGTCAATATGGTGTAAACATTCAAATTTGTCCAGAAATTGCCAAAATTCAAAGGCCTAAACACTCAGTCCCATCTAAAGCCCTACACCACCTCTGATGTTTCTTATTAAACATGGCTATTACACCCGCAGTACCATCTAAAGCCCTACACCACCTCTAATGTTTCTTACTAAACATGGCTATTACACCCTCAGTCCCGTCTTAAGCCTTACACCACCTCTAATGTTTCTTACTAAACATGGCTATTACACCCTCAGTACCATCTAAAGCCCTACACCACCTCTGATGTTTCTTACTAAACATGGCTATTACACCCGCAGTCCCGTCTAAAGCCTTACACCACCTCTAATGTTTCATACTAAACATGGCTATTACACCCGCAGTCCCGTCTAAAGCCTTACACCACCTCTACACCACCTCTGATGTTTCTTATTAAACATGGCTGTTACACCCGCAGTCCCGTCTAAAGCCTTACACCACCTCTAATGTTTCATACTAAACATGGCTATTACACCCGCAGTCCCGTCTAAAGCTTTACACCACCTCTAATGTTTCTTACTAAACATGGCTATTACACCCTCAGTCCCGTCTTAAGCCTTACACCACCTCTAATGTTTCTTACTAAACATGGCTATTACACCTGCAGTCCCGTCTAAAGCCCTACACCACCTCTGATGTTTCTTACTAAACATGGCTATTACACCCTCAGTCCCGTCTTAAGCCTTACACCACCTCTGATGTTTCTTATTAAACATGGCTATTACACCCTCAGTCCCGTCTAAAGCCTTACACCACCTCTAATGTTTCTTACTAAACATGGCTATTACACCCGCAGTCCCGTCTAAAGCCTTACACCACCTCTGATGTTTCTTACTAAACATGGCTATTACACCCGCAGTCCCGTCTAAAGCCCTACACCACCTCTGATGTTTCTTACTAAACATGGCTATTACACCCTCAGTCCCGTCTAAAGCTTTACACCACCTCTAATGTTTCATACTAAACATGGCTATTACACCCTCAGTCCCGTCTTAAGCCTTACACCACCTCTAATGTTTCTTACTAAACATGGCTATTACACCCGCAGTCCCGTCTAAAGCCCTACACCACCTCTAATGTTTCTTACTAAACATGGCTATTACACCCTCAGTATCATCTAAAGCCCTACACCACCTCTAATGTTTCTTACTAAACATGGCTATTACACCCTCAGTCCCGTCTTAAGCCTTACACCACCTCTAATGTTTCTTACTAAACATGGCTATTACACCCTCAGTACCACCTAAAGCCCTACACCACCTCTGATGTTTCTTACTAAACATGGCTATTACACCCGCAGTCCCGTCTAAAGCCTTACACCACCTCTAATGTTTCATACTAAACATGGCTATTACACCCTCAGTCCCGTCTTAAGCCTTACACCACCTCTAATGTTTCATACTAAACATGGCTATTACACCCGCAGTCCCGTCTAAAGCTTTACACCACCTTTCTTACTAAACAGGACTATATCTACCTAATAAATCCAGAACAGAAATTGTCTAAATATTCATCCCTCTATCATGTGAGTGTAAATCTCAAAACGAAACAAGGGGCCTGTCAGCCTTAGTGAGGATTATTATAACTTTAAACCTATTGCAAAACACATAACACCAACATCGTGAACTATTTCAATGTGTTATCTAATTAAGTAATGCAGATATCTATGGATAATCAATCCTTTTATTCCCTATATATACTTCATTTCTGTTACTATGTCCTTAAAACCAACCCCCTACCAATCTGGTACTAAGTCTTGGCTGTGACTATAACAAGGGCGTAACAACCCTAATTAGATTCCATAAATGATTCCACTGCAGGGGTCATTTTCAATTGCCTGATGAAGGTCAACAGGTCAAAGTTAAAATGGTAATTAATGCCCATCAACATTCGATATTTTGATCGAGCATATTCTAAAATAATGGTATATAAAAAGGTCAAAGGATATATAGGTAAAAGGTCAAATAATTCTTCACCTTCAATTACGGTATACTTTTCATTTGCACGTCTTATAACAAAGTCAAGTTTAGCCAAATGTCAATATATAGGTCACCAAAGGTCAGATGTTAAATAACTCTTTGATTTCATTAAAAATTTGATACTACTGATACCGATTCATGGACTACAACGGTTTTTTTTCTTTTATGTCAATATACAATTTCAAGTCAAGTTATAGTTAAGCTGACAATACACAACAATGACTCTTTTGTTTCAAATACAAAAAGTATAAATACAGATGAATTGTCCTTTGTGTGGCCTTCCACACATTTGATTCTTATAGCAAGCCTTATACACAAATCAGATTCAATGGCACAATCGTCATCAACAGAATTCCCCTTAGCATGGCCCCTTTACAACAAATTCTAGCGGTAACTATATATACATAATTTAACAAAGAGACAAAAATTACAGTTAATCAAAATTCAAACACTTTTCATAATGATCAAAAATTTTAATTACTTCTTCAGCTCCTAAATGTGTGCATACTGCCAAGAAATAAATTTTAAAATGATTTTTCAGTCTCAAGTTTTTTGTCCACAAACAGAAATTGAAGAATTTTTCACGATTCCTTTTACAATAATTGCTCTGATGACTATATTGTACTTCAGATGAACATGAAATCATCATTCACACGAAATCATCTACTTATTGTTCCTACAAAATTTCATCAATATCATTCAAATAGTGTCGAGTTATCAATTTGAATTATATTCTAAAGATGAAGACCATCTTGAATAACGTTTTTACTTAAAATATGATATTACCCTAACTGATCATAAGTATGAAATTTCGTCAAAATTTGAAGAGAAAGGTTTAGGTATGACACACAAATGATGAAGCCCTAAAGCAATAGATCACTCGAGTCTTCAGCATAAAGTATGAATTCAGATCTTAAAAACTCTTTACAATACAAAGAATGTTATGTGGACCTTAAAAATACTCTGAAACTGAAAAGATTTTTGGCATATGCACCTTTCCCGACAGATTCTGGAATGATTTAGTATATACTCACCTACAGGTTTTGGTTGAGATAATGACACTGGGAAGAACAACTTGAGTGGTTTACTGTGATCCGAGTCCGATTTATGCAATAGTGCTGGCTTTTCCATTTTGATGTTAATACCAAGTCTTGCCACAACTGGATCCAAAGTTGCTGGCTTTCTTGGTTCAATATTAGGCTCATAGTTACCAACCTCTGCAAGTCGTAATTGACCTGGAAAACATACCAATATCAACATGCCTTGTTAAATTTCTGACAAAAACAAGTTTGGTGATCCCTACTTCATGGAATTCGTACTCTAAATGTCAAGCTGTTTTTCAGTTCATCAGTATAAAAAGTATTTTTTTCAGAAGAGATTATAATTCCAATTATCTAATAGAAAGTGACAGGTACTGATCTCACAACATACAAAGTACTATTTATATCAAACGTTCTGTTTTCAGTAGGAAAATGTGTTTGAAATGTTACCACAAATTTCTATTTGAAAAAGCCACCAAGATACTTACATTCTTGTTTGATAGCTGCTATGTTGATGGGTGTGAATGGTGACCTGGCTGCTCGACGTGATCGTAGAATATCCCGACAAAGTCGCCGCGAGATTCTGGTCAAAGATGTAGTGATGAGACAGAATGCTGCCCTCGTTTTCATCACAGGTCGTGGACTGCCTGCGCTCACCACAAGACCATGTGCTGTAGCTAAATGTCGTGCCAAGTGTGCCTTCAGGCGGAACTCCTGTCAATAAAGTCATTATGCCGTCAAATAATTTGCTATATGTGAAAACAGAGCCTATTTCAAATATTTTTAGAAAGAAGAGTGACAACTTTCTGGCTTAAAAAATGTTGAAATATGAAAAATTCTTTCTCTAATACTTAATGTTTGTTACAGCGAAACTTGGTAATTCCATTGGAAACTTTCAAAACATGACAGTGATAGTTGAATTACTATAGGAAAACATCAAAAGGTGGCAGTCATATTTCTGATGGAGTCAATGTTAAAACTTTAACAGTGACTTAGCTATGGAATATTTCCTAATATTTCTGAGATGTATGAATGACATCCTTTCAACACTGACAATTCCATCCAAATCTCTACAAGATCACACGGTGGCATAGTTATATTATATGCAATGGATACATACAACAGTTATTTGGACTCTTCATACTAGGTACCCACCTTACCACATCCCGCTATTGTACATCGGTGCATCCTTATCATGTTGAATTGTGCAATACGCTCTGAAAGTGATAAGTACATTTGCTGTAGTACTTTTTAACATATGCCATAAAATCCTAACATATCTAGAGTAAGACTGACGAAAGACATATTTCACTTTTAAAAGATTTCAATTCTACATCAGTCATACATTTTCAAATCAATATCGACTTCATTTACTCATTCTTGTTAATTTCAATTTTTTATTAATTTGTTCTAAACCTGAAAACATTTTTCAATTATCTTATATCAAATCATGCATCAAATGAGATCTTCTGGATATATAAAGGATGCATTTACAAACAAAAAAGGGCTAACCAGGGGAAACAACAGGTACATTAACTCCAATGGGGCTACAGAAAATTTGGTCGCTCAGACATCCCTGACAAGTAGGCACATGAGGAAACAGCAGGGATTCCTTTAATTGTCTGCACTATCATTAAAAAATACAGCTGCATGTCTTTACCATTGAGAACTAGTATCACTTAAGAGGATAATCATTCAAAGGAGCTTACCTTGACGCTGTGTAGGTGCTGGTCTTTCACCATCTGAAAATATTAAATCAATCCATACTTAGAAAAGAACATTAATTAAGTATCACAAGAAACCCAATAATTGTATTAGTTTTAACATTCAATATGGTGTATTGATGTCAGGTTAAATATACACAGATACATTAACATATCAATACTAAATTCTTAATCAATTTCATACTTAATAAAGCCTGTATTTTGAATGCACGTTACTATTTAACTTGGGCACTGCTTAATAAACTGAAAGGAGTTTATATCTCTGCAAAAACAGAACATGCCTTTTGACAGCACCATCACTCAGCTTGTTGAGATTGCAGATGGTAGAAAATACTGGTGAACTTTCACCCCTGAGGTAAACTGCATGCCATGTTTATTTCACATGGATTGTTGCATGGTTCGGAATATGCACATTGTTGTAATTGAAATAATTCAACATAGAAAAAAAAAATTTTTTTCTTAATTTTCCTGTTTGTCTGGGTTCTGATGTTTATTTCAGCCAATTATGATTTTCCTAAGTAGCCTCCTGGGCTACAACATTTAAGCCCTTAGCATCACTGATTCTCAGAAGGATGAAGTCAATATATGATGCAGATTGTTCATTACTTGGCAATATTTTTCATTATCCTTGCAGAAAAATGGTTATCTCCCTTGGACCATAAGCTCTTCCTACCTAATCGTGTGGGCATTTTGAGTCCTCCATACTTTTTCCAGTATATCCAACAGGTTGAACAAAGCCTACACTGCATATGTGCAGGGCCCCATGAGTACCACTGACTGGAGTGACCAGCTGTAACAGAATAACATCAACACTCAATGATAAAATAAAATTCAAACACCTCATTTTCTTCATTCTTTAACCAGCCATCACAAGTTTGGGGATCTTATTCTTTCAGCATGATAAAATGCTGATTTCTGATCAAATAACTGCAATGCCCCCAATCATCACAATGGTTTTGTGATATTGTTATCGATATGTGTTACCAATAACCCACTTACAGAAGCATGAAATGTGACTTTTTGAATTATATACAATGCATCTAAGAGTGGAGAAAGACATATTATTATTCAGACTACTGCTATTTCACAGTAAATATAACAGTAATGCCAGTAAATGCTCACCATAGCAGCTTTCACAAGCTCGTCCAGATACCTGACCATCTTCACCATTCATTTTCCCACTGATGGCTGCCGGGTTGGGCTTATTGCTGAAAAGGTTCACAAGTCATCAATCATTCATCTCCAAATGCTTTTGTGAACTTCATTATCTAAATGTGTAATTCTAGCTGACAACCTCATTATCTATATTTGTACTTCTGACAACCTCATTATCTATATTTGTACTTCTAACTGACAACCTCATCTATATTTGTACTTCTAACTGACAACCTCATTATTTATATTTGTACTTCTAACTGACAACCTCATTATCTATATTTGTACTTCTGACAACCTCATTATCTATATTTGTACTTCTAACTGACAACCTCATTATCTATATTTGTACTTCTAGCTGACAACCTCATTATCTATATTTGTACTTCTAACTGACAACCTCATTATCTATATTTGTACTTCTGACAACCTCATTATCTATATTTGTACTTCTAACTGACAACCTCATTATTTATATTTGTACTTCTAACTGACAACCTCATTATCTATATTTGTACTTCTGACAACCTCATTATCTATATTTGTACTTCTAACTGACAACCTCATTATCTATATTTGTACTTCTAGCTGACAACCTCATTATCTATATTTGTACTTCTAACTGACAACCTCATTATCTATATTTGTACTTCTAACTGACAACCTCATTATCTATATTTGTACTTCTAACTGACAACCTCATTATCTATATTTGTACTTCTAACTGACAACCTCATTATCTATATTTGTATTTCATTATCTATATTTGTACTTCTAACTGACAACCTCATTATCTATATTTGTACTTCTAACTGACAACCTCATTATCTATATTTGTACTTCTAACTGACAACCTCATTATCTATATTTGTACTTCTAACTGACAACCTCATTATCTATATTTGTACTTCTAGCTGACAACCTCATTATCTATATTTGTACTTCTAACTGACAACCTCATTATCTAAATGTGTACTTCTAGCTGACAACCTCATTATCTATATTTGTACTTCTAACTGACAACCTCATTATCTATATTTGTACTTCTAACTGACAACCTCATTATCTATATTTGTACTTCTAACTGACAACCTCATTATCTATATTTGTACTTCTGACAACCTCATTATCTATATTTGTACTTCTAACTGACAACCTCATTATCTATATTTGTACTTCTAACTGACAACCTCATTATCTATATTTGTACTTCTGACAACCTCATTATCTATATTTGTACTTCTAACTGACAACCTCATTATCTATATTTGTACTTCTAACTGACAACCTCATTATCTATATTTGTACTTCTAACTGACAACCTAATCATCTATATTTGTACTTCTAACTGACAATCAGTCTTCTCTTGGGTCTGTTCTAAAACATGCCGATATTCTAACTGACAATCAGTCTTCTCTTGGGTCTGTTCTAAAACATGCCGATATTCTGGAGGGAAAATTATATTTTCTTTATGAAAGTATATCTGTAACTGAGAATTTCTATCAATGATACCAATTAACCAACATGTAATACTCACTAGTTAGGAATGTACACCTGTTTTAATTTGCTTTCTGCTTCTGCTGCTTTTATTCTTTTCTAAAGAAAGAGAAAATAGTATAACAGTAATTAAACGTTTTTCAAGACAACTTCAGGAAATCATGCTGTGGTTACTTTTTTTAATATGTAAATTTCATAAGCAGTATGACGAAGGCTTGTGCAAAATAAGACATTTTTAAAAGAATAGGCAAGTTTTGAAATTGATAACCTAAGCAAGCATAACAATTCATTGAAAAACTTCCAACCTCCGTTGGACAATGCAAAACAGTCTGACTTTAAATGAAGGTGTTGAATTGGCAACTTGCGTGCTAATGTATAAAAATACATGTCAGCTAACAAAAACAGTCAAGTAGCAATAGCCAGTCAAGTAGGAAACTATCCCATACATCTTGTCAGTACTTACCTGTTGTACATATCTGTCTGTTGTTTTCCACATGTAGTAATACTCTACAATACTTTTCAAAGATTTCCATGGCAACTGAAACAGAAAAAAAGTGTTTTATGTAAATGGATGTTTGCATCAAAATACAACAAAAAGTGTTTGGAGGAAAGAGTGCTTATGAAATCAATGACGAACATGTGTGATTATATGTTATATTCTAACCATAATGACTTATAAACTTTCAACTTGTGAGCCAAGTGATATTGTCCAAGATTAATTACGTTAATCAAGATTCGGCAGGGATGAATGGCAAAAAGACAGAATAAGGAATACACAAGTTTTCAAACATATAAAGATCCACTTAGCATTACTATTTTTATTTGTTTAACAATTAAGAAAATAAGTAAATCTCAACTTACAAAGTCTTGCCTAATATCATTAAAATCTTTTCCATATTTGTCCAAAGCTTCCTCAAAGAGATTGGCTTCTGATGCAGACCACTCCTCCATTTCATCCCGACACAGCACTGGGCCACCAGACGGAACCATGCTTGTCACAGCTTTGGCAATCTCATAGCGTGCTTTGTGTAGTGTGTCCATAGCGTGGAACTTTAAGAAAAATTAATACATGACTATAATTATTCATGCTTAGATTTTTAAATGGTATGGTTTTTATTCTTAAAAACCTTATGCAAAAGTGGAAACATGGGCGACATTAATACATAACTTTTGTACTTATAACCTAGACATGTCTTTGGAAGAGAGATAACATACACATAGAGCAATATAGTAACATGACGAATTTTAACAAATGGGTAGCAGTAAGAGCAATTTAACTTTAAAGAACATCTGCCTATTCAGCTGTGCTGATGTTGGGAGTGCCCACATCATAATTAATCCATATTAATAATTAACAGTTTTATAATATCTAATAACATCTCAATTAATTCATGGGATGTTGAATTCAATCGACTTTCAAAAAAATCTTTTCATCAGCAATTGCAATATATATTTAAGAGGTTTTTAATTGATTAAAATAAGCAAAATCATTACAAATATCCATGTATGTATATAATGCTAAAATTCTCTCCCTATTCACACAATACTGGCATCTGACTTACCAGAGTGATGTCCCTTGATGCTGCAGCAGCACTCATATGCAGACTAGGTTGCCTTACAGTACTTGTACAGTCCAAAGCACGGGCAAATGTACCTACAGATCTGTAAACACAAAGGTTTAACTAGAATAAGGGCAAATGTACCTACAGATCTGTAAACACAAATGTTTAGCTAGAATAAGGGCAAATGTACCTACAGATCTGTAAACACAAAGGTTTAACTAGAATAAGGGCAGAAGTACCTAGATCTGTAAACACAAAGGTTTAGCTAGAATAAGGGCAAAAGTACCTAGATCTGTAAACACAAAGGTTTAGCTAGAATAAGGGCAAAAGTACCTAGATCTGTAAACACAAAGGTTTAGCTAGAATAAGGGCAAAAGTACATAGATCTGTAAACACAAAGGTTTAGCTAGAATAAGGTCAAATGTACCTACAGATCTGTAAACACAAATGTTTAGCTAGAATAAGGGCAAATGTACCTACAGATCGGTAAAAACAAAGGTTTAACTAGAATAAGGGCAAAAGTACCTAGATCTGTAAACACAAAGGTTTAACTAGAACATGGGCCAACACTGATTTTCCAAATCTGCCACTCTACAGCAGGTACCATTAATCTTGTTTTCCTGTGATGTAATCAACATGCAGTACAAGATTACTTACAACATCACTGTCTCATTAATCTATTATATGTAATTTACAGAATTACCAGAACATTGTTCCTGTTAAAAGTGCTATAAACTTCTTCAATTCTTACCTTGATACTATTAAGAATTGATCAATTTGTCGGTCATTTAAAACATTGTTTGGATCCCATATAAGTTCCTCTAGCTCCTCCATTTTACGGCCATCTTCTTCTTTGGCTGTTGAACATACAAATGAGCAGTAATCACACAGCAGTCCAAAGCAAACAAAATAATTGTTAAAAATTATTACCATTGCATTCAGAAAAATTATATACATGTTTATTTGGAACCATGCTATTGGTGAACACTGAAGCTTGTCTTTTATACAATAATCATCTTCAGTACTTCTGGAAACATTACTGTATCAACAGTCTTTGAATATCCAACAGTATGTACAAGTTATAAAAAAAATCCCCAATAAACCAATGTTATATTTCCCTAGTTATCCCGAAAATAAGTATAAGCAACCTTTGGTCTAATTCCAAAACAGGCATTTTCTCTGAAATAATTGGCTTCAACTACATCATATCCATCTTATACACCACAATGCCACAGTGGTACTTTACCAAATAGTGACACCTTATTACTGATAAAAAATGTAACTTAATTCAGCAAAACCTGAAACTATAACTTATTATAATATCATTTCAAAACAAATTAATCTATCCCAATTTGACATAATTCTAAACTCCGCTTTTTAAATGGGCAACCTAAACTTGTGAGCCATACCATTCTTGAGCAGTTCTGTGATATCAGCCTGGTATCGGCCACCAACTCTGATTTCACCTTTGTCTGCAAGGAGTGTTCTTTGTGATGGATCATACACCAGTGAGTAAAAGAAAGTGTCCTACAACAAAAGTAGATATTATAACAGATAAATCTTACCCAAGTAATCGTACTGCATGTAGCAAAGACCATACGAACATCAACACTTAAATGGAACTCAGAAAACTTCCTAACATTTTCTTTTTAAATTGTTTCAGTAAGACACAAACCGCATTGGCAATATTTAAATCAGCAGATTGCTGTTTATTACACTGCCATGTTCACAAACATACATAACTTCTAAAAAAAAGAAGTGATGTCATTGCAACTTTTTCAACACCTTAACATTTACATATAGTTAAGAAAGGTAACTTACCTCCTTGTTAAGGTAGGAGAGGAGGGACTCTGTCTCGTTCAGTAGTGTCACCACACACTTGCCACGTATATGTGTGGCTGGTAGGGTTTCGACCTGGCGTGACAGGAACAGCTCTCTATGCTTCAGCTGGTGCTTCTGTTTGTCTGTTATATCATCTACCCGAGCCTCAAGCTCTGTATCATCTAGAGTGGCTGTAAAACAAACAACCAAAATTCACTATCATTCCCACAAACCTTCACTATCATTCCCAGAAGTCTCATGGATAAGTAAGCAAGTAAGTAAATAAGCTTCTATGCAGTGTTGCTGATTACATTTGTGAAGACAATTAAAAAGAAATTCATTCATTAGCAAAAAAAGGTTTTAGCCATTCTGTTAGTCAGATGTTTAATCTATTGAGTTAAAATACATTTTTTTGTTTCTATTTATAGCACAACATTTTTACAACACAACAGTAACTTCTGTATATGGTACATGTATGTTTTTTATCCAGCTTGAATGCATCAACAGATTTACAAGATACTGTATCTATCCAACAATTAGTCCATGTCTGGTAACAAGCACACCCACTCTGTCAAATAAATAGTATTGTAATTAACCTACCCCTACTATGGAGTCAGAAGTAAGGTTTTAAACTCCTGGACTTATTGCAGAATAAACGTAACAGTTCTTTTCAAGGAAATAAAACATTGTAGCAGCTAATTACAGAACTTAAATCAAAACAGGTCTACATACTAACATACCAGTATCACATTATAAACTGACACATTCAACACACAGCTATAACCTAGCAACAGTAAAGTTTTCCAGTTTCAAATTCACTAAAATACATACAAAAAACTTTCTCTTTAGCTATCACATACATATATCTTTACAGCATTACATATTCATATGCAGGGTATTTCTTATTGACCTGATCTCTATCATTAAAAACTTTTTTGTGAGTCTGTGGTGACTGCAACACCATTCCCTTTCTGTAGCTACTATCCAAATACAAAGCATTGCTAGATCACTTGAAATTTATAAATATTAACATAATAATGTGAAAAATATGTAAAACATTCCAATTTCAGTCGACGTTATGGCCATCAAACAGTGAATAGAGCACTCTGGTACACTGGGGAAAAACTTTACATGCACTTAACATAAAAATGAAAATCGCTCCCAATGCTTGCAGTATTTCATACAGAATACTTGCATTGTAGTACATACCTCCAATGAAACAAAATTTAACTCAAAGCCTCTTCCATAACTTTATTTGGTCGAATTGTTGGGAATATTCTTTCAGGAAAGTTTACAAATTAAAATTACAAGAATATGAAGAAATACAAATGAAGTAAAAGGGTTTAACATTAATCCATGAATTATTTCATTACATATCTCTGTTTTGCTTATTGTTGCTTTACATCTTATTCACAGCCAGGGTCATTTAGGGATGTGTCAGGTTTGGGTGGTGGACTACATACAGCCTTAGTTCCCGAGAAAAACCACTGACCTGCAGGGAGTACCTGGCAACTGCCCCATGGAGGCATTGAACCCATGACTCAGAGGTGGAGGGATTGTTATAAAGACTGTTAGATGCCTTAACCATTCTTCCTTTGTGACCCGATGAATGAACCATATACATCCAACGTACTTATGAAATCTATCTTATTGGAAATGAATGTCCACATGATGGAACCTAGACAAGCTTGTCCATATCTCTTTACTGTGGCATTTTCCTTCATGACATTAACCTTAAAATTACGGAGGGGGGGGGGAGTGGACAGTTGGAACTCCAAGTATTTGAAAATCTACAAGATGCTTGCTTCAAATGTTAATGATCAAGTATGAGATTCATAGTAATGTTTGTAACAAGAAATCAACACTTCAGTAAGTATCCAGTTAATATCAGAAAGTTTCAAGCTGATTAAGTAATACATTGAAATCCAACTATAAAGTATAACAAGCCACATGTTATACAGTGAATTCTGAATTACCTTAATGGCCAGCCTAATGTGCAGTAATTTGAAAATAACTTTCTAGAGACCCTACTAATACTCTGATGTGTTATTCAGCTTGGTTAGGCAGCTATTACCACAGAGGTCAAAGTAGCACTTCATATTGTCAACTAATGAAAATGGCTGTTATTAATAGAGTTGTCACAACACAACAAAAACATGTTGTATTTGCATTGTGTATTATGAAGCATCGTACAATGATTACATGCATATTTCACCTAAACCAGGCTGCATTTTCCTATGAAAATACCCTCAAAGATTTTGAAAATATGAAATTTTCTTACAATTTCTTTGATCATTTCTATTTAAAATTATTTTCTGAAATTTGTCCTGTTATTTTTGTTAGTTAATCAACTTCCGTCCCTATGAAAGTTCCGAGTTACCAGGTTACAAACAACAAAGTGTTGGTGAAACATGAACAGGTCAGTTTCTGATTTGATGGAAAATGACCAAAAGTATATAAAAAAAAAAGAACAAGAAGCAGTTTAATGGTTAAGAATTCATAGAACTTATTTCTCATATGATAGTAAGGTACTCAAGCAGTATCTGTAACAGTTTGATAACAAATCTTTTGCAGTATTTGGTCAATGCTTTCCACATATTTTGCTCAAGTTCAAACATATTTCTGTTCATAATAACAAATGTTTATGAGATTTTACTTGAAAAACAAACCAGTAAATTTTTGTATTGACAAAAGAAATTCTACAAACATTTTGCCAGTATTAAATTACCCATTAAACTAGGATGATGTAACACTTCTCAAAAACAAACTCAACCGCCGACTGTCTATACAACATAAAACTTACAGAATCTGACAAAACACTGCAAAGATGCCCAAGTACTTCAGCCATAAAACATTCCTATCAAAGCACATTTAACAAGGACCTGCTCTACTTGTTTGGATTTAAAACCCCATTGTAACTATTAACTAACAGCATCACAAGGAAACCTTTATGTTGAATAAGATAAAGCCATAAACAACTAATAAATTGGACAAGACACATCACCTTCAGGCAACACTAGATATTCATCTTCATTTAACTGTAAAATTCAAATTGTTTCTTTTATATGTTGAGGAATTAAATAAGTATATTTTCAATTTTGTTTACTAACTTGATAGAGAAAAATGCCCTGTGCTATCTGTCCTTACCTGTCAAAGATATTACCTCCCTTTGACCATATTCCAAATCACAGACTGCTGTATATCATAAATAAACAAAGACCAAAGCACATTACATAAAGGAATATACCAGTAAAATCCAAATTTTTCAAGTGTATGTCTTAGAAAAGATTGGTCATCAGATACATGACCAACTATGTACAGCAAGTTAGACCAAAAATGCAGGTAAGCAGAGAGTTAATAGGGATGCACATGGTGTGCTTCTTACACTCCACCTTCTTGAGAAACACAAGATAGCAAGTTAACAGAAATAAAGAAAGGCCCTCAACTCACATAACTAGGTATATTATCTTTACACTATTTAAATCAAATCAACTGGGAAGAGGGAAAATTTGTATCAGATAAGTTGATACCTATATCTGGTCACTATGACAATGCATAATATAATGAATCTCAATTGTTGTGTGATTTTGTTTTTTTGTTTCTATTTTTGCTTATCAAAATATTAAAATGCATATGACTGGCTTATTTAAGCAATGTCATTCCATGTTTTCAGAAATTCTTCAGACAAACACAGTTTTTCTTGCTATTTTGCTTTCTTTTTTCTTAAATATAACCACAATTTTCCTGTAAAAGTTGAAAAAAAGTACACAAGTTTTAATTCCCAAATTTGAAGTGTGTATATTGTCTGGCCATTGTAAGTTTATATCATTTCTTTTTATACTCAAAATAATGGTGTAGATGCACCAGTGAAATTCTTATTCCAACAACTGCAGTCCATCCTTTTGAGACCTTTCTTTTAGATATTGTTTTTAACAACTCATACCAACGAATACATCATGTAAACCTGCCAAAATTAGACTGCATTCAAATTAAATCATAAAATAAGGAAAGCAGGTATATAGGACAACATAAGTTATTACAACATCAAAGAATTTACCATGAAAATTAGTGCAAGGGAAATAGGTTTCATCATACCTGGATTTTGTTTTCATGCATAGAAGATAACTAAATTATTTGGACTTACTCAGAGTGTCAGATGCTCTCAATTTACCCTCTCCAGAACCTGAGTTGAACAAAAATTGTTAAATATTTATCAATCAATTCAAAGAAGTGATGAGTGTAACTGCAAACTACAACCCATCACCAATACAAGAACAGAATGTGAAGCAAGTCATTTACTTCACCACATGGACATTAATTGTGGAAGTCAAATCAATGTCCTTTTTTTTAGATACTTATTGATAAAATCTACTGACAATTCCTCTTCGACACTTTTTACCTTCAGATAAATTCACTCACAGTAACAAAGACTATTTTTCAAACATAGCTTTAGTCAGATTCATGAAGTCCATCTGGGACATTTCATTCTACATCAGTGTCAATTATTCAAACACTTTGATAGTATTCCAATCAAATCAATACAGCTGAAAAGCAGTCTGTATATTTCAAAAAGGGGCCTGAATTATCGTAGAAAACCTTCACTCTTGGAATCGTCTAGATCTACCATTCCTATTTTACTGAAATATGTGGTATAACTGGTATGATATACATCTAATCTTAATTAAAACTTGCTGATATTTTTGTCCTAACTACAAATTCACACGCAGGACTAACATCCTTGTAATCAAAAACTTAAATGCTTAATATTTGCAATAAAAACCAACATTTAATAACAATAAATACAATACTTTTTTTCATTGATGAAAACAGGTACTTCACTTTCTTAGAAATAAAATTCTAAGACCTGATGAAAATAACAATGTCCCAAAACATAAATGACAGAATTTGGTAACTACAATATTGACATACTTTCTACCAGAAAAGTAGTACCTTAGTCTCGCCTCTACACCTTATTGACAAACAAGAATGTGATAATAAACGCAAGAAAGCTTTAAATTGTGGTTTCCCAGCGATTCTAAATATCTAATTTACTTTACATGTGTTAATCTAGGATTTCAGGAATACTACCTATTGTAGAAAAAAGTGGATTTGAGATCTATTTGGCTCAGAATTCAAAACAGGGATAGGGCTAAAACATGAAATGCACACAGATTACATGAATATAACATGACGATATTGAGGTTAGATTGATATTTCTTTTTCATGATTGAAAATATCTTAAGTAAAAAAATATGAATTAGCTCTTTTCAGTAAAATTCTGTGTCTTTTAGGGGAAAGTTTCCTTATATTTTCTTAATGGGGAGTGCTTATCTTCAAAGGGGAAAACATACCACTTGGGGAATACTACCCTTAACTGTAGTAGTAAAATTTGTCAAGGATACCCCTGCTTTACTGATGATACCTATTTAACTATAGAAAGGCAAGAAAAATCATTGCATCGCCACACAATTAGTAACATAGTTTTCAATAGTATCAAAATTAATACAATGAACCTTAACTTTGGGGTTTTCTAAGCCCACATCATTCATTTTGTGAAAACTATGTCCCTTCAATGCTGAATTACAATGGACAGCATGAACCATCATGTTACAGTGGAAAATGCTTACAGAACAACATCTTGATCACAACCACATAACCACATAACTAAAGTTGTCATTCGTGTGAAATGCTAACCAACTCTTGTTGTTCAGGTACACTAGGCTTTCTGTTTTTTACTATGGACAATCAGCTCCAATACTACCAGTGTAGTATGGTAAAAGTGAAGTCCATAGTAAAAATGAACTGATGTTCATTTTACCATTTTGGTGAAATGGATCCGAGTTTCATTTGACCATATTGGTGAAATGAACCCTGCATGGTAAAGTGGAGCCGCTTTACACTTTTTTTTATCAGTTTACTTAATTATGTTCCTACATACATATCATTTCACTACTGAACTTTTTTTCACCAATTGTTTTATTCTAATTACTCAGATTCATTAAAAAAACACACAAATAGCAAAAGTTATGTCTGGGATGGGGAAATTAAAGATGAGGCAAGGGGATTCACTTAACACTTTATGGTAAAGTAAAATGAAGCCCCTGTCCCATTGTTAATTTCCCCATCCAAGACATTTTTTGTTGTTGATGTGTTAAATGAATGATTCAGGGAAATAAGAAAATAAATTGGTGAAAAAAAGTTAAAAACAGTGCAATGCTTCACTTAACCATTACCCTACCCACCCCATCCTTGTTATTTTTTTGTTTTATCATGTATGGAGGAACATAAGTAAAGAGATCAAAAATTAAGTGAAGAAACATCAACTGAAAACAAGATATTAAATGGCTTCATTTCACCAATTGGGTATTTTGACCCCGGTTCATTTCTTCTTGCTTTACAATGCCATGCTACACAGGAACTTTGTTGAAGACTCTTATTTACTGTATTATCCATGCTAGAAGTTGGCATACCTACCTAAAAACAGATAATTGACCATTAGAAAAAGACTTCAGCAGCAGCCAGCTAAAGGGATGCTTTAAGCTTCAGCATAAGCACATGTACAATTTTGGTGAATCCTGTATTCTAAGTAGAAGATGATAGTCTAGCTTTTCCTATATATTCCACTTAATGATTTTCAATTCTATCTTTTTTGATAAAGTTGTAGATGCTCACTGTCAATCATATTTTTTTTTATTATTGAAATATAATACCATACAATACGTCATTTGAAAAGATAACTATTGATAAATGAGATTATGTAATCATGTGTAAAATAACAACATGACAGATTCAACTATTACATCTGTAGTATTCTAAAGTCTGTAGTAACCAACGAGTTTATATACATAAAATATGGGTTTTGGTAAAGTGTGCATGAAATACAGTCAATACTATCAAAAGTCAATCTTTTTAATTTAAGTATTCACATTCTATGGTGAATTTACGGTTTCATTATTTATACAACAAAATCTTAAACTACCATAACAACTATAAACTTATCAAAGTATTTTTAAGATTCAGGAAAATGTATTACACTTATGACAGAATAAAATCATCATATCAATCAAAATGATTAAACACTAGTATTTAGGATGCCTTAACACTAACAGAAAAGTCATGGTACGTTCAGCATTCTCATAATCTTTTATCAATAACCATTACTTAAAAAAATATATCAATGTATATTGTGAACCACCTTTAGCTTACTATAAAATTTATGATGCTACCTTCAAGTTCAGGGGAAAATGACAAAACTTTTCTAAACTGTCCCATTCAAATTGGGAGATTTTACAAACTTTACAGGAAGGGGTTTTATTTTGCTTGGTTTTTGGTGAAAAAGGCCCCAAAATTTTCAAATGAAGAATAAGCATTTAACTTGTTCTGCTAACTTTCATTAAATATGAATGATGTAAGAACAGTTTGAAGGACTAGTATATAATGCATGTTTTCCCGTGTATAATGATATAATTTAGTAACTGAAAAATCAAAGTGTGAAACAAGATAATCAGTTGTAAAAATCAATGCTTGTCTTAATCATTTTCCTTGTTACTGTATCTTCTAGATAGGAATATCATGATGTTGCAAATGACAAGATGAATATTCATTGTGAAAATTCCACTACACACTAGTATTTGCAACTCAAATATATGAAATAATACACTTCTTATTCATAATAAATAAGTAAATTATTGTGCAATTAACTCTTAAAATGCGAAACATGTGACTGTCTAACGAATTTTCCTTCAATATTGGACAAAAATCACACTTTATAAGCTTTGTTTACATTTTATGGAAAGCAACACCCTAACTGTATGAATGAACAGTCTTCCACCAATCAAATGCAAGCAAAGCCGGACTATTTCCACTCTTGTAGTAAAATCCACGTGTTTGTGTTGTGTTTACTACAAGCTTGTATAATTTCGATGTTTTGAATACATTTCTGGGAGATTTCTGTCCAGTTCGCATGTCAGAACTGGTGTCTTCCTATGTCGACCCCACCACCCATCGCCACTGTCCCCGACACACTCGTGCCATCAGTCTCCGACAGGGAAATACACAATCAACCACTTACTTTGATGTTTGTCCGCAAGTAACGTAAGAGAGCTTGAAATGTCCCTCCTCCGGTAAAAACACATAACTTTTGCTTCCACATTGCCATTTGGGGTCTGAAATGAAAACCATGCCGGAATGTAATCGGGCCATCATGACGACATGTGTAATCAGTAACACACTTCACGGAATCGAAACCCTTCCGTACCTCATACTTAACCCCTTTATGTGGGCCCCAATATGAATTTCGAGAAATTCCAACAATTTAACAAAAGTTGCAAAATTGTATATATCACTTACCTTATTAAGCTCTTCAATCCGTCTGATTTGATACGGTGTCGTTGAAGAGGTTTCGAAAAACACATAATCTGCAGACAGAACAAAAAAGGTCTTTGTGTGAACACCGGCCGATATAACAGTCCGCAAACAAAATATAGTCCACACAACCGTATTTCACCTATTTTGATAAGATTTTCACATCCAAATTTTGTGGAGAATGATGGTCCGTGGGTCCATAAAAAAGACTGACATAAAATTTTAATACATTGTACAAGAAACTTTTCTGAAATTCGAAGTAGAAAATTTACTTTGATCATTAAGACCGCATCACAACCTCCCCTTGAGGCCCTCACCTTCGTAAATAACTTTGTGTCCAAAAATCACCAATTATTATCATATGTATGTCTAAATTTCTCTTGGAAACATATCTATCTCTTATCAAAACATCTAGTTAGTATGAATCATGTAGGTCTTGTAAATTGGTTAAAACAAAAGTATTTTTAAAATGTATCCCGACGCGATTAGCCGAGTGGGTCCGTCCATGCTCTCTGCACTCAAAATTTGTATACGTACCTCCAACTCGATACATATTTGCAGCCATTGCCGCTTTAGGGGACACAACCACTTCAAGAGTAAACTTTCGAAGTTATGTGCCAATATCCGGAAAAATCCGAACTCCACGACAACGTTGTAGTGTCCAGCGAAGTCACCCCTAGACGACAGGATCATGGAGTCGCCATTTCTCGGGCTTATATCTGTCTTCCTCCTCTTTTCACACGTGACGTCACACGTCCTTCGGCGGCTTTTGGTTTTCACTCTAAAACACTTCGATGATGGATTTGATAGATGATAGGCATATGGGGTGTCAAAGCTCACCGCTTATGACACACTGACCATTGAGAATAGTAAAAGTGGTTAATTACATGGTAGTAAAGAGAAACTAAAAATAATCGAAATTTTATTTTTATTGATTTTTGTTGTCAAATCAATAAGATCTTACAAGAAAATCAATAATTTCTACCTACATCCGGTCGTCATTATGATTTTATTAGAATAAGCATAACCTATTTCTTTGTCTTTATCTAAGACTACATTACTTTCATTCTTAACTATATTAGCTCTGAATCACGGAATGAAGCAATTTGATAATATAATTAGTCGATTTGATTTGGGACCTTTGTGTGGTATCGCTAGACATGCGCCATTTCGATTGTAACGGAACTATAAAATTCCTTTCTCGCACTGTATACATAATCTTGCGCTGGAAGGGAAAAAACTCAGTAACCAGGCAACTTTGTGACGTCACGGTCAATCACTTCCATGAACTTGCGCCAGAAAATAGTTCTAGTGTAGTGTACGTGACAGCTGTTGTCCTTGGTGTGTTATGCACACTGGTGTAGTAATCGACCTCGCTTGGCTCCGATACCCCTGCTTTCTGTCCCGGCCCCCGCAGGCGTGTCCGTTACGCCTCACTGCATATTCCTTCGTCTATATTTAGTGGTATTTAACAATTTGCAATAAACTTGATCTTAAATTGGGATTTAACACAGTTTTGATTAAGCTATACACAATGTTTGGGTGTATTGTCCGGAAGAAAACAAAGAGACTTTACCCATCGGGCAAATTATGCGATACTGAAAAAATGTCTGTATACATTTTTTTTGTGTGTATGTGTTCAAGTGTCTTCTGGACAAATGCCAAAATAAAACAATATACAGACACTGGGCTGATGCTGGCGATAACATCCAATTATCATTAAACCTCTTGGTATTACCTGCAGATGGAATGGAAGGAACCAGCCAGGTTCCTCCATTTATTTCAAAATAGTTCGTTAAAAGTTTCTTTTTTTTCTGCTTTTTATTATTTCTTCTTTTTTTTCCCATTTTTACACAAGATTTGCAACTGACAAAGGAGCCGCCAATTTCACTGCATAAAACTTAAAATCTACAGAAACTGGGGTACAATGTATTCAAATTTTCATATCAGGTTTCGTTTTTTTTTAAATCTATATTTTCCATGATAATTACTTGAAAACTATTTTTGCACTTTCTACGGTGATTTTAGGTGAATAAACCAGAAATAGATCATAAGGTGAACAACTACTTGGGCAAAGTAATAAACAAATTGGAGATTTATGTAGGATCATGAATGAGTTTTCATATTATATGGAAAGTTATGAAACGGGTATTTGAAATGTATATTTTCCGATCATTGGCAAACAAAATATATAACTTCGATACAAGTTTCTTAACGTTTCATAAGAAATTAAAACAATTTATTTTTATACTCAGAGTTACATTTCGCATGTTTCGAACGATGGAAGCCATCTTCAATTCATGACGTAACGTCGTTATCGATGACATCGCAACTGATTCGCAGCCAACGAAAATCGCTCAAGAGTGTATTACGCTAGTGACGTATACGCGAAAATATTGCATGAGCGAATTCTCTTGATACCAGGCTGGTTATATGACAAAGGCTACGTATAAATCGTATACGTAGTTTTCTGCAAGATCTTGCTCCTTGTTTTACTTGCATTTTGTTTTATACTTTTTAACAATAAAAACTTCAATATGCGATTATGTGATTATGTATATTTGGTTGTCTTTTATTATTTAAGAATTGAAAATTTTTAGTCAAAAATTTTAAAATTGAAATTAATTTCATTAAAATCACACAAGCAAGTACCAACCTTTTCTCCGTTCTCAATGACGTAGAGAATAAATCCCACATAAACAGGAATAATTTTTAACCCCCCCCCCCCCCCCCCCCCCCGCAACCACCCCCACCCATCCCCCCACCCCCATTCTTGGTATTGTATCAGTCATTTAACAACTATAAACTACATGTAGTACAGATGGGAACTGCTCAAAGAAAGAAAGATTTGTCATTAAAGTGTAGGCAGGTTTGAATTCAACACTAGTTGCAGAACTAGACACAATTACAAAGAATATGTGAGGGGGCATTTTAGGTAATTTATATTGCTAATGTGTTTTCTCTTCATATTAAGATGATCAATAGTTACAGACAATTCGATTAGTAATATCTCTGCTACCTCTAACCAAAAGCTTGCTAACAATATTTCCATGTCAACTGCTGATTAAATATACAACTTGATCAAGGCCTTATGCCATATTTCTATACAGAAGTATCGGTCGTTTCCTACAACGAAACCAACATGGACAGCTTTCCGTTACTTAAGTTGTTTAAGCATGGTGATTTCACTTTCCCTGTTGAAAATTTTCCATTTATGGATAGCAAACCCCGTACATGATTTGATATTCAAGAGTCCGTTCCCTAAATTTTCGAGCAAGATGTCGTCAACAGAAAAAACTCATAACACAGGGTTTCGACTGTTGCAAGCTAAATAAAATTATATGAAAGTTTTACGGTCGCCATAGTAATCTCATTAGGAAATGTTCCATTTCTTTGTGCGGTATAAAGCTGGGCGTGTTTCCATATGCTTTTCTTGTTGGATTTGGGGTAATGATTAAAGAATAACTATATTTATGTGTTGTTTTGCACATTAGCGAACATTTTATGACCATAAAGAACAATTTACTAGGTTAGAAAGATAAATATCGCGACATTGTAATGTTATAGGATTGTTAGTAAGTATGTAATATTTATCTATCTTACTTGTTTCATCGACTGTGATTTGTTTTTCGATAAACAGGATGAAAAACCTCCAAAATACAAATCTAGAAGCCGATATTTCAATAATACAATTGTACTGTCGTGAAGACTTGTCGACATCTTGCCCAATCAGAGATATAGTGCACACAAAACTTTTCAAATGAGACTTAGAGAACTGAATATACACGCACCGAGAAATAACAGGTCTACACGGCTGCCGCCACAAGGGGCTAAGTCAACGAAAATGTTTATTATTCAAAAAAGTTTAGAAGTTGAAGTGACAACGATGAGATTTTTTCAGGAAACTTCATGTTCAATTTTATTTTACAACATCGAGAAAATTATAATACTTTCTCAAATTCAAATTTTCCTAAGATAACTCTCGTGCAGCGTCTCCTTATCTCTGGCGAGGATGGTATCAGTCATCACATGCTAACTTTATTACAGATTCTGTGTGCAAACCTCTTGAACTTCTGTTTGATATGTTTCTATCTTCATGTTCTTACCATTATATCAGGAAAATTGCTAAGGTCGTGTCAAATTTCCAGAAAGGAGATAGACATTCCCCGATCCAATTATCGACCTGTTGTCGTTTTGTCTTCTCTGGGAAAGGATAAGTTTAAGCATCTCCATAACTATCATTTAGAAACTCCTTCATTTTACAAGTATGGTTTTATGCCCGGCAACTCAACAGTACACCTAACTGTGTCACAATCTATATTCATATATGGCGTTCTGTGACATATCCAATGCCTTTGATACAGCCTAAATCATATGCCTTTTTTAGTTTTTAGCTTGGATCCAAAATTATCTAGAAAATAGGCATCAAAAAGTATCAATTATTGATTTTCTGAAGTTGGTTTTATAACGACTGGAGTTCCTCAGTTTTTATTTATTTGTTTGTTGTTTTGCCTTTTGTTTCTATGTCAATGATATATCTGATAAACTTAAAACTTGACATTATTGAATAGATGGGCTAAAACTTGGTTAGTCTCTTTCAATCCCAGTAAACCTGTTGCTCTGTTTATATCAAATACAAGCGAATTAGATGAAGATGTGGATTTGTTTTACGATGAAAACTTTTAAAATCCTTATAGTGAAAACATACATGTAGGAGTCATTTTTAACTCGGGTGCAAAATAATCAGACCAAATTAACGAAATCTATGAATCTTCAATGAAAAAAAAACTTCATTGTTTTAAGAAAGCTTAAATACTTGTTGAAACACGATGCTCTAATCAAGATTTACAAATCTGCATGAGAGGTTTGGGGTGGGTATCCTTCAAATGATCCGGAACATTTAGAGCCGACCTAACAAGCGTCAAGATACTTACATTTCCAGTCTATTACCTACTACTACAGGAGAAACAAATCCTTATACAAAAATAAAGACGACTTCGGGACACTAACAGTAGACTTTCTCTCTCCAATTCATCCTTTTTATCCTCTACTGTCAGAGTCTGGAATAATGATACCGTTTAATCTGTTTCACTACCAAATTTTAAACTGGTTAGAACTTCAAATATTTACATCCCTGAAAATGATTTCAGGATCGGTGATAGAAGGTAAAGTATTATTCATACGAAACTTATGTATCAATGCAGTACCTTTTGATTCCCAAATTCCTATAAAAATAACTCTATTTTTATTTGGTGATGTAAATTCGTCATTGGAGGTAAATTAAGATATATTAAGGCATGTTCAAACTTTTATCAGATCCAGCGGGAGATTTAGAATAGGAACTTGTTGTAAATCATTTGGCTTATATATAACATTTGTCTATCTACAAGCACACACATGTGTACACACACACACACACACACACACACACATATATCTGTAATATTGAGAAAAAAAAAGATTCAGAAGTTGTATGAACTATGTTTAAACTAAAAACCTGTGTTTGTTGCCACCGTATGTCACCAAACGATAACCCTACTTAACGATAAGTAAGCCGGAGGATTACCATGTGGTACAAAACATAGCTTGGACGTTGCCTTTGTCACCTTAAACAGTTAGCATGTGTGTTACTAGTAAATCAAACGACACGTTGAAAATTGAGAAATGTTGTAAGATGGCGAACTTATGCAACGGCTCATTATGGTAGGACATACCGGCAAGTAGCTGTATGATTTAATGTCAGCTATTCTGTTATTTCTCTGTTAATTCATCCTATTATTTCTCTGTTAATGCAGAGTGTGGACCAACCAAGGTATTTTGACGAGCGTCCTAGATCTGGCAGACCACAAAAGACTACAGACAGAGAAAATAGTAGTGTTAACAAGACAAGATCCATTCACCACCGTCAACAGGCTCATGAGGGACAGCGGACCGTCATTGTTCATGCTAGCTAGTGTACCGTCAACAGACGTTAGCAACCTCGCTCTCACCGACAAGTAAAACATCAAGAGCTGACTGGAAGATACAAACAAGCAAGACTGCCATGAGAAAGTGGTCATCGGACATAGACCATTAAGTCCTAGCGAAGAGTTTACTAGTCAGATGAAATCCGTCTTCTTACTTCGTCCCACAGATTGCAGGATCCGTCTTAACAGACAAAGAAATGCGGGATACTAACGAAATCACAGCATATGATGGTAGCGGTGTTACTGTTGGGGATGTTTTTCTCTAAACTGTACGTTTCTGATGAACTTGAAATCGACAGAAATACTGTAATTGGCACGATCGATGCCCATCCATTGGCAGATGGTTGACAATGCCAAATCACAGCCCGCCTAGTGCACGGTCTGCATTGTATGATATGAACACAAACGTTAATGTACGGGATCCAGAATTTCAAACAATGTGAGAATTACGGGCTGCACTGAAACAAGCTTCGACATCTGGACAGTGGAGACGAGGGACACGATTCTTGATATGGGTGGTCCCTTACATATTAACAAGCATATTTACCACAAATATTATATACAAATTTCAAGAATTTGGCAAGGTTACCTGATCTGATATTGACAAGTCGGCAAAGAGGACAGTTCCCTTAGGAATGCTACTATTTTTTAAAATACAATCGTTCCGTTATTGCGTTATCAGTGTATGGTCATCTTTAGTGTTTTCCGAGATATAACTGTCGTTAAAATGAAACCACCATAACAGGTAAATGAAGGCGTTCCTTTGTTTGGAACGGGGTATGTTAAATAGAGGTCGCCAGAACACTGACGTCCGTTGGCGAGACAACGGCTATCAATCAGAAAAAGCACACGTAAGCAACCGATCAAACATCCTACCTAAGTCCGGAAAAATGAATTGTTTTTGTATTATTTATGGTTATGGTATTATTTATACTCTGAAAGTAGGATTTATACAGTAGAACCCGAAGAAACTCTAAAATAGCGTACTTAAACATATAAGCACGTAATACAGAGGACTGGATTAGAATCCACTGTGTCTGGTTGTGGTTTAGCCAAGGTCACACGAAGACAGTAGGTAATTGATGTGATTTACTGGTATTCCGAAAAAAATAACTTCTTGAGGTATAATTAGCTAGTATTTTCGTTCGGAAAAATGGATATTTTGAGCTCTTAATTGGGTAGTCTTCCGTGGGACCCATAGGTATCTAGGAATTCACAGTTCAATTAATGGAAGGATTCTCTCGATGTTTTGGACCATTTCATAAAAACTTTCGAAGTTCAGCATATAGTTAAAACAAAAGCATATAGTTTCATCAGGAGATAAACATACTAGATAATACCTAAAAAAAGATAGTATTTGGTAAAAAGATACTAACACGTAACAACAAATGATTTGCGTTATTATGATGAAAAATACCCATTACGTGTTTAAACTGGAGTTATTACGTTTTCTTTGTTTGTTTGGTTTTTTTTGTAACTTGTATGTTTTTTTCAAGTAATGACGCAATATTCACGGTATTTTGTTTACTTCCAAAATGCCGTCAACATATGCTGAAGTACTAGTGGCAAGCACCGTCAGTTTTTAGAAAAGGTTATCTCCCCTAGACCAACAGAAACGATGTATACTTACAAACGTTCTTTGTGATGCGTTGTCGAAATCTTCGTGAACAATATAATTCTATATCACTATTTCCAAGAGTTATATACTGTTTTCCAAATGAATTAAAGTATCAAAAGCTAACTGCAGGTAACAGCTCCGTTAAAATGAGGCTTTCACTTTGCCATTATGTTTTGACGATTGTCGAATTAATTCCTGATGATCAGCTGTGAAAATGATCGGTTCTCACAACAGAAACCAACCGAGGACATATCAATTATAACAATAACATCAAGGGTGAAGTCATTGGATTTCGTTCAAGTCCCCTATATCAAGTGTTATCTAATAATGAAATGCTTCAAATATCTGTGATACCTAGAATTGAAAAAAAAAACCTATCGTCACACTGGCCATCCACTACATAAATCAAAAACAACTACGCGGTGAATATCATTGATACAGATATCTGTGCATTTTTAGAAAGTGTTCATAACCATTAATTTGATTACATACGTAATTTTTAAAAATAATATACAAATACACTTGGTAATATTACGATTATCTCCCCTTGTTGAGATACCCCGTTTAGATTCCAATTTGTGCTGAAAGTATGCATTTTTATTCTCACTAAGAGTTTTATTGGTTTTAATTAATGTTTAACATAAGCAGTTTGAACAACTTGGTGGGTCATTGTTGGAAATCAGATTTTTAGGAAGAAGAAAATTTCTTCTAAAATCCAATATTTCAAATACATTGTTTTAATACATATATATTCACATCATGGGTATTAAATCTTATTGAGCACATTTTGTCAATCAGTTTTAACAATCAATTTGAAAACTTTGCCACTGAAATAGAATAAAACGCTCTTTGACAGTAGTAGAAATACTTAATTAACTCCCTTGCTTAACTTTTATGGCAGTTGCTTGTACTAGAAAGCTGTTTACAGTTTGCATTCTGCATTATATATTCAAAGAAAAACAGAAAGTAATACATAAATTATTCACTTCATTTATTCTGCATGACCAGCATCTTCAACAACATCTCAAACAATAATCTGTGTATAGACAAGGTAATCTCTCATATCATAAATATTAACAGATATCACATATTTGATTTATTCCCTCTTTCATTTGTTTGAAATCTTACTGTATAATCAAATTTGCTTTTACTCACTAATATTACTATATGATCGGAGATGAGAAGCTTTACTAATATTTTTTGCTTTCCAAAGAGATAAACTTACCACAACGCACACCAACTACAGATTACAACATTATATATGATTTTGAGCCATGTCATATCTCACTGATTCAAGTTAGTGGATTAGATTTGTCTTTTGAAAATCTCGAAATGTGACATACACTAGGACAAGGTCTAGTGATTATGTCTAATATATCACAGACTGTGTAAGGTCCACACAGACGTTTGGACCTTATTGTCATGAAGAGTACTTAAGAGGTTTAAAGAACATGGTGATGTCTCCTGTTGCTGGACCAAGCTTCCTGATGTTCGCTCGTTTCCTAGCCTGTTCTGCAGTGACCTTCTGGTGACAAATTACACACAGAGTACGGAGGTTGTCAATATCGCATTCTCCTCCACCTTCCCAGACCGGCCGGATGTGGTCAGCATGCCAAAACTACAGAAACAAACAGATTCATGAGATTTCTCTAAACATGGTGATGACACATTCTCAATGTATGACAATCACCGCTTTCACATAAAAATATGATATTACTTCATTTTTGTCATGATCAAACTGAATTTTGAAAATGCGTTTTACAATCTAGATTCTCATGATGTATTAAATAAAGATGTATATAAGGCTATTTACATAATCGATTCTAATAAAATCCTTGTGTAATATTATCAATGCAGTTGCAGTCTTCCTTATATGTACATCACAAAAAACTGATACCTTTCACCACTTCCTAAATATAACACAAAAATGGTAGTTGATATCAAGTATATTTATACACTTAAGTTTGTTTTGTTGGGTTAAGTGTCCTGTGAACAGTCAGGGTTATCATAAGGCAGAGTTGCCTTGTAGTAAATGGTGGCTACCTTATTGAAAAACATATGGGAGACCTGTCCAATGTCATTCAAAACAATTAAGGTTGTCTTGCCCAGGGACAAACCATGTCAATACATACTGGTCTCCGTTTCTCAGTTTCCCGAAAACATAAACACCTAAGTATTTATCTTTTATGCGTTATTTCACTGGATGTTCAATGAACCTGCAGACAATGTGTAAAGTTTTACACTTTACAATATATAATGAATTACCTGGCCAGCAGCTGGGTGTCTGACCATCTGTTCCCGCTGTCTTGCTGAAAGAACATGATATTTGCTCTCATTGATCAGCTCTGCTCTCTGTTTCAAATCTGGGTTATCTCTGAAATACAGTTACTTCCACTACACATTCTCTTGTGATTATGAATAAATACTTTGGTATCGGATAACAAGTTATATGTTAATCTATCATGGAGGAACAAGTCACACACAGCTGTTCTGAATCAGGTTACTTCAACAATACTCTACACTGTAATGACATCATATTGATGATGATTAGATAATGAAGATTATTATCTACCAAAAAAAACCCAATGAAGAGAATTATTTATGAAACATAAAGTGGTTTTGACTAAAAATATGAAAATTTAATGAACTTAAATTTTGAACTTGGAGTAAATAATTTTCAACAATCAAAAGACAACTTCTAAATTTCACAAGATACAAATGAATTAAGAAAGTTACATACTTATACAAACTGAAACTTTGATCTGGTTTTAATGAATTAGTACTTTTTGACAAATGCCATCTTAGGTCAAAGCTCTGAATTGCTATTATTGGGTATACGTCATGCTTATGATGGAGAAATACCTGATCTGTCTAAAGAATGCATGAGCTTCAAAGTCGCACAACTGACAGCGGCCATGTTCAACTTCATACAGACGGTCTCGACCATACTGGGAATTTGTCTTCATCTGTAAACAGAAATTCTAGCATCATTGTGGAAAAGTTGAATTGATCATGGTTGAATTTAGAAACAAATACAATGAAGCCATAAAATTCTATTTTGTTCCTCCATCAAACAAATGTTTGTGAATGTCTAACCCCATGCATATTGTTTTTCCTTACCCAGTAGGCGTCCATGCATGAGCGAGAACATAACCGTGTAGACCAGGCATGCTCTGTACTGTTTATAGAATCCTGTTCCAACAGTTTGTTCTGGTATGGTTTGCAGCAGTGTAGACATAGAGGAGTACCATCTCCACTCACCACCTAGGAGAAAGACCATGTATCCTTATTGTAACAATGAACAGTCATTTTTCTGAAAACTTTTTGTTGCTTCCTAACTTTTCAAAAACCTACAATGAATCATACCAAATGGAGGTCTCCCTTTTGATAAGCAACAGTTATAATACATGTACAAAAAAGACTCACTTGTACAAAGCCTCGTGATTGGGCAGCTGTCTCATCACATATGACCAAACTTTGACCTTTGACCTCAGGTCTGCTAATGACTCGTGTCGATCCCTTTACTTCCTGTGCCTTGGTTATAGCTCTGATTGCCAAATCATCCTGTTGTGAAGAAATAGTGAAATGATAGACAGCATGAAAAGTGCATCTTTATTGGAAATAAGTAATGATATGTCAGTGTGTTGTATAACTTTACACTGATGTGTCACAATCCTTCACACCAGTTACAGCTTCATCTTCAAAATCAGATACTAATTACCCCTAAAGTCTACTTTCTGATATTGAAATGTAGAACTTTTAATAAACCATTTTACCCAGCAATTGTCCCTGGTGCCAACAAACTACTCTATATGAGTTCAGAGGTTGAGCTTTACACTGCCTTATACATCTTCAATAAGCATTTGGTTTTATTCTGATCTTTCTTTCTGGTAAACAAATACAATCCACCAACTAATTAATTCAGAGACCTTAGTTTAGATATTACATCATCAGTGAAAAACCAACCTTACTGATGTGTCGCTGGGAGCAGTGTGTCTTACCGCTGCGTAAATCCTCATAAGCTCTGAGTGGACTAGTAAACTTGATACCACTCTTCATAATCAGTCTACGCTTAGTTTCTGTAAGGCTGTCAAAGTGTCACAGAATATACCGCTGATGTCATGTATTAGATAAAGATGTATAAAGATATCTGACTCTACTGATCTAAAGGGAGACAACTAAGCGACATGTTACATTGCAGAAAAGACAACATTTTGTGCAGTGAAATTAAATGATGCTGAATATAACAGGATATCATTGTTGTATCCGATATTGATCACATTTCTCAATGGATTGTTATTTCTAAAACTGAAAAAAAAAATACCGATGAAAATAAGTTAAACACTTTTGAATAATTTTAACTAAATAATACAGTGCATCATTTCATAATACAGTAATCCCTATGACATATTTACGTAAGTCCTGACCTATCTATTGCTATATACTATCATCACTTGTTCTTATTAGTCAGGTTCACAGTACCTTGGTGTGTTCTGATAAGAAATTAAACCAACAATTGTCATCAACAGCTCTAAAACCATCATTGTTGAAGTCTCATACCTGTTCCACTCTCGGACAAACCTCTCCACAAGTCTGAGGTTATCAGGGTGAAGAAGGAGATCAGGCAGGGCATCCTGGTTACCAAGCTCTATGTCCAAAGGCAGAAAGTTAGCTTCCAGAGACAAACCTTCCTGTAACACATATCCAGTTAGATTAGATTCTGTGACACTGTGCGACTATGTTGCATATTATACACAATTATAAGGTTTATATATATATAGATATTGGATAGATATCAAAGAGTACTTACTGAATCAAACAAATAAACACGTCCAGTGTACCTGCTGCAACAGTACATCAGATGAGTGTGGATGGTCACCATGTCTAAGTCAACTATGCGAACATTAGTCTTTGAACAAGAAACTTCTGCTGATTTTCCTAAATACATAAGTATTAAAAAAACATGAAATTGAATGCAAATTTTAAAAAACTGTTTTTTTCTGTAGTTTGGAGATAACATAATAGAAAATTCAGTATTTCAGAGACAGGCTTTAAATCTTATTTGTATGTTACAATGAATCCCAAGATTATACCTATAATACTCAAAGGAAATGTGTCTAAACTTCATGTCCTGGCATAAAATTATCACTCAGAAATCCAAAATACAATCTATCGCATGTATCTTTATTTTACGTTATCTTGTGAGTTTTACGTTACCTTGTGAGTTTTACGTTACCTTGTGAGTTTTACGTTATCTTGTGAGTTTTACCTTGTGAGTTTTACGTTATCTTGTGAGTTTTACCTTGTGAGTTTTATGTTACCTTGTGAGTTTTACATTACCTTGTGAGTTTTACGTTACCTTGTGATACGTTACCTTGTGAGTTTTACGTTATCTTGTAAGTTTTACGTTATCTTGTGAGTTTTACGTTACCTTGTGAGTTTTACATTACCTTGTGAGTTTTACGTTACCTTGTGAGTTTTACCTTGTGAGTTTTACCTTGTGAGTTTTACCTTGTGAGTTTTACGTCACCTTGTGAGTTTTACGTTACCTTGTGAGTTTTACCTTGTGAGTTTTACCTTGTGAGTTTTACGTCACCTTGTGAGTTTTACGTCACCTTGTGAGTTTTACGTTACCTTGTGAGTTTTACGTTACCTTGTGAGTTTTACATTACCTTGTGAGTTTTACGTTACCTTGTGAGTTTTACCTTGTGAGTTTTACCTTGTGAGTTTTACGTCACCTTGTGAGTTTTACGTTACCTTGTGAGTTTTACCTTGTTAGTTTTACATTACCTTGTGAGTTTTACGTTACCTTGTGATACGTTACCTTGTGAGTTTTACGTCACCTTGTGAGTTTTACGTTACCTTGTGAGTTTTATGTTACCTTGTGATAAGTTACCTTGTGAGTTTTACGTTACCTTGTAAGTTTTACATTACCTTGTGAGTTTTACGTTACCTTGTGAGTTTTACGTCACCTTGTGAGTTTTACGTCACCTTGTGAGTTTTACGTTACCTTGTGAGTTTTACCTTGTGAGTTTTACATTACCTTATGAGTTTTACGTTACCTTGTGATACGTTACCTTGTGAGTTTTACGTTACCTTGTGAGTTTTACGTTATCTTGTGAGTTTTACGTTATCTTGTGATACGTTACCTTGTGAGTTTTACGTCACCTTGTGAGTTTTACGTTACCTTGTGAGTTTTACGTTATCTTGTGAGTTGTATGTTACCTTGTGATATGTTAGCTTGTGAGTTTTACATTACCTTGTGAGTTTTACGTCACCTTGTGAGTTTTACCTTGTGAGTTTTACGTTACCTTGTGAGTTTTACGTTACCTTGTGAGTTATACTGTGACATAACTTCCTCCTCCCAGTCATCCTCAAACATGTCCTCTATCACATCTTCTATTTCTCCTTCTTCCTTTTCCCTTTTCTTCTCTTTTTCAATTTTTTCCCCCCTGTCCTTCACTTTCTTGTTAGAAGTATCAACATTTGAATTGGTATTATTAAATGTATTTGGGTCACATTGGGATTCAGTATCATCAAGGTCAAATTCTGATACAAAATCCAGATCAAATTGAGATCCAATGTCCAGTTCACTTTCATCAGAATCACAGACGGTATCCTCTATATCACCATTGATGTTGTCTGATTCGGAGGAAAATGAAGATATATCATCCATATTTTGTGTACCATCAGATTCACTTCCATCCTTGCTTGTCATTTTCGATGTCACATCCTCGTGGTCACCCAATGTCTTTGTCATAGAGGTTAAGGTTAGAATTGATAGACTAGACTTGTCACAATGGTTATTTCCAACTAATTTGTCACTCTGTTGAAGGCAAGGTTTGTCATGTTGTTTAAGACAAGGTTTTTCACACTGTTTGAAACTAGATTTCTTGCACTGGTTTGTGAGACTTGATTTCTCGCACTGGTTTGTGAGACTTGATTTCTCGCACTGGTTTGTGAGACTTGATTTCTCGCACTGGTTTGTGAGACTTGATTTCTCACACTGCTTTAGAACACATTTATCACTCTGGTTTTTCCTTTTAGAATTTAACATAACTGATGTTTCTTCTTCACACTGCCAACTCTTCAGTGATTTTTTTAAACCACATGACCCTGGAGTTTCACTTACATGAACCTGTGAACCAGACGAGCTATGAATGTCCTTGGATTTTGTCTGTGCCGAAGGAGAATCTGCTGCATTGTTCTCTAACCTTCCATATTCCCATGTATCCACTGCTTTTGTCCTCAACTCATTGCACATTTCACAGTATGGTAAATCAACATGGTTAATGAAAGTACAAACTGAGCAGGTCCACATCATAGTACTGCCTTCATCTGATTCCCTTGCAGGGTTAGTGTTTGTCTGAGGCAGACTCAACCTCCTTCTTAGTGTTTTACTATGTCTAATGCTGCCACTGTTATGTTTTTTTGTTGTAGAAACAGTTTTTCTTTCATTTATAGTTTTCCTACCAGTTTTCCTCCATGGTTGAGGTGTAAAATCATCATCCTCATGTCCATTTTGAATCGTTACAGAAATATCTTCCACTTGAGAGCCTGAATTTAAAAAAGAATTTCCAAGTCTCCTCAAATGATTTGTTGGTGTTTTAGCTGAGTAGTCATTGTCATTCGTTTCTTTTCTAGCAGGAATATTTTGCTTTTTATCAGAAGTCTTGTTATGTGAATTTTCTCGTTTTCTTGAACGATGGAGACTGATGTCATGTAAACAGTCATCAGATAAGTTGTCATCCTCCTCCTCATCTGTCAGCTTATCATCATCTACTACAGGTTTGTCCCCCTCTACCATGGACTTGTCCTCCTCTTCTTCTGAGGTTTCATCCTCTATTACAATTGCAGTCTCTTCCACGAGATCATCAGCATCATCTACAGTAGTGACTGTCTTCTTACGTTTACAATTCCTATCCTGATCTGATATTTTTCTTTTTTTACCAGAAGTCATGAAATCCAAAATGGACATTTGATCTTTAGGCTGTAATAAGTAAGAATATGTTAATGTTCCATGCAAATATATTAATATAAAATATTTTCCAGAAGGAAAGTTTAATTTCATTACCTAGAAAAAGATATTTATGGAGACAAACTGTTGTTAAAAGGCATTGTAGTTTATGTATGCTTCCAATTCCAATCAGCCAGCACCTAGCTGGCCTTGAACAGTCACAACAATTCCTTCTGTCAGGCTTCTTATACACTTAGGATAAGTCACTTATACACTTAGGATAACTCACTTATACACTTAGGATAACTCACTTATACACTTAGGATAACTCACTTTTACACTTAGGATAAGTCACTTATACACTTAGCATAAGTCACTTATACACTTAGGATAACACTTATACACTTAGGATAACTCACTTATACACTTAGGATAACTCACTTATACACTTAGGATAACTCACTTATACACTTAGGATAACTCACTTATACACTTAGGATAACTCACTTATACACTTAGGATAAGTCACTTATACACTTAGCATAAGTCACTTATACACTTAGGATAACTCACTTATACACTTAGGATAAGTCACTTATACATTTAGCATAACTCACTTATACACTTAGGATAAGTCACTTATACACTTAGGATAACTCACTTATACACTTAGGATAAGTCACTTATACACTATACTCACTTATACACTTAGGATAAGTCACTTATACACTTAGGATAACTAACTTAGGATAAGTCACTTATACACTTAGGATAAGTCACTTATACACTTAGGATAAGTCACTTATACACTTAGGATAAGTCACTTATACACTTAGGATAAGTCACTTATACACTTAGGATAACTCACTTAGGATAACTCACTTATACACTTAGGAGAACTCACTTAGGATAACTCACTTATACACTTAGGATAACTCACTTATACACTTAGCATAAGTCACTTATACACTTAGGATAACTCACTTATACACTTAGGATAACTCACTTAGGATAACTCACTTATACACTTCGGATAAGTCACTTATACACTTAGGATAAAACACTTAGCATAAGTCACTTAAACACTTAGGATAACTCACTTATACACTTCGGATAACTCACTTATACACTTAGGATAACTCACTTATACACTTAGCATAAGTCACTTAAACACTTAGGATAACTCACTTATACACTTAGGATAACTCACTTAGGATAACTCACTTATACACTTCGGATAACTCACTTATACACTTAGGATAACTCACTTATACACTTAGGATAACTCACTTATACACTTAGGATAAGTCACTTATACACTTAGGATAACTCACTTATACACTTAAGATAAGTCACTTAAACACTTAGGATAACTCACTTATACACTTAGGATAACTCACTTATACACTTAGGATAAGTCACTTATACACTTAGGATAACTCACTTATACACTTAAGATAAGTCACTTAAACACTTAGGATAACTCACTTATACACTTAGGATAACTCACTTATACACTTAAGATAAGTCACTTAAACACTTAGGATAACTCACTTATACACTTAGGATAACTCACTTAGGATAACTCACTTATACACTTCGGATAACTCACTTATACACTTAGGATAAGTCACTTATACACTTAGCATAAGTCACTTATACACTTAGGATAACTCACTTATACACTTAGGATAAGTCACTTATACACTTAGGATAACTCACTTAGGATAACTCACTTATACACTTCGGATAACTCACTTATACACTTAGGATAACTCACTTATACACTTAGGATAACTCACTTATACACTTAGGATAAGTCACTTATACACTTAGGATAACTCACTTATACACTTAGGATAACTCACTTATACACTTATACACTTAGGATAAGTCACTTATACACTTAGGATAACTCACTTATACACTTAGGATAACTCACTTATACTCTTAGGATAACTCACTTAGGATAACTCACTTATACACTTCGGATAAGTCACTTATACACTTAGGATAACTCACTTAGGATAACTCACTTATACACTTAGGATAACTCACTTAGGATAACTCACTTATACACTTAGGATAACTCACTTAGGATAACTCACTTATACACTTAGGATAACTCACTTATACACTTACATCACTAGATTTAAAATAAAAGAACTATGTTTTTAGGATACATGAATGTGATGTTGTGATCATATTTCTCAAACTCTTCACAGAATGAAATGATGTGATTATTGTGCTGTGAAACAATGTAAGTTATCATCTAATTAAGTAAAGAAGTGTTAAAAGCTCGCCTTAATTTACTTAAAAAAATACATTGTAGTTTAAAAATTGAAACAACAAAAAAAATAATTATGATCACAACGATAAAACTGCTGTAACTGATAAAATTGTTTTGATAAAAATACAAGATGATGCTAAGTGTGACATTTCCCCTGAGCCCTGTTGTTTAAAAGAAAGACACACAATCATATATATATTTATATAGATGCTATTTGTTATTTGTAATCCTTCCATACATAGTACTGAAATGGAGAACCTATACAAAGTTTGAGTAGAGAACTGGTCTGAAAAAAACTGATTATTGTGATTTGACCTATCTGTTTCCATGGTAACAGAAAGAGTATTTGAATGGAGAACTTCCTCATAGCTAGTTCTAGCTTAGCTTAGTAAGTGTAAAAAGTTTTAAGCAATTATCTGGAATGGTTTCAGAGCTGTGGTCCAGAGAGAAATAATGAAATTTGTGATGAGTATTATCAGTTTCCATGGTAACAGAGAAAAAATATTTCACTTGGGCACTAACCTAATATATAAAGAAAGTTTTGTTGAGTTGAGTGGAATGGTTTCGAAGTTGTAGCCCAGAATGGAAAGTTATCAGTAATTTTGTGTTTTTTGACTATGTTTCCATGGTAAAGGAAGAAATATAAAAAGTCACCAATAGCCTAATATACACAGAAAGTTTTGTTAAGTTGAGTAGAACACTTTTGAAGTTGTAGCCTGGAAAGGAAAGTAAACACTAACTTTGTGGTTTTTGGCTGTTTCCTTGGAAACAGAAAAAATACAAAAAATGAAATTTCATCAATAGCAAAAGGCACAACTAAGGCATTACTTAATATATACAGCAAGTTTTATAAAGTTGAGTTGAATGGTTTTGAAGTTATAGCCCGGTAAAGCCCACAGACGGATGGATAGATGGACAGACAGAGTCCAGATTTATATGTTAATTAAAAGTTACAATATCACTTTTCCTCAACATCTTACATAATGTTACAAAAAATCTAATAACTATCATGTGTTTGGCAAACATTAATGATATAAAAACTCTTATAAATATGAAAGCAACAAAGTGATTTTTGCCATAGTATCTAGATATGTGACATATGTTTTGAGACATGTGCAATAATGGCACACTGACCTGCTGTGATACAAACATGCCCGCCAGGTCAACATCCTTGGTAGGTTGTGGAAGAACAGCATCAGCATTAGACAAAACCTCAATCTGGTAGCGATTCCCCTTGTCAGCAGCTAGCTCCTGCTTCTTACCATTCAGTGTGGTGGTAGTAATGATTGTCTGGGAATGACAAATTTCAACACTGGATTTGAGTATACAATTCTTTGAATATAAAATATATTTACAATTTTTGAAAATGACAAATTTAAAGGGATATTCTATACAAGTTTGCAAATTTCTGGCTTTTTGTGGATGTTTTCAAACTCTTTATGACTTTTAAAACTATTGCCAGCATCAAAATATCTTTCCTATTGTCAGTATGGGCAGATCGAATTGGTGGAAATACTCCTTGCCAATACAAAATTAGACAGTCTAAATATAGTGCATGGGGAATCTGGAACTCAGTCACTGACTGGATTAGAGAATTTATGTATTGGGTGAATACACAGGTTTGTACAATATTCACTTATAATTTATGCTGGATTGGAATGCCATTGTTTTGTTTGAATTATTTCTGGTCAATTAAAAATATACATAAACATTTCACACTGTCTGGTTGATAAAATGCAAACCTGTTGTGGCTCAATCCTGGTCGAGCTAATGCTTGTTAATTGATCTAGCTAGGTCTGTATAGAGTTTCCACAGATAAAATATAGTATGTTTTGAGGGTACATTTCCTTTAAGAACATTAGTATATCCTTTCGTGAATTTTTTCATAAAAACAATAATATATGAAATCCTAGCTAGTGTTAAATATCCCTTTAACTTAAAAGAAAGAACTTTAAAGCCACCTTTTTGCAAACAGCTGACCAGACCCACTCATCCATGGTCTCCTTGGCAACCAAGTAGTGAATGGATACACACACTGTCTGACCAATGCGATGAGCACGGTCCTCACACTGAATCATTACGCCTGGTGTCCAGTACATCTCCGCAAATACAACCAGGGTAGCTGCAGTGAAGGTCAACCCCTGTAAACATATGATCATTTGAGTTTATGTAAATGTTAGAAGATTAATTTGTGTAAATGTAAGAAGTCAGATCCTGTAAATGTATAGAGGTCAGTCCCTAGAAGTCAGATTATGTAAATGTTTAGTATCATCACTCATGCATTTATGAAAGATACCAAAAATTAGTCACACTCATAACTAAAAACACTCTTAAATAATCCCAATGTGTTTGTGACAGGTAACATGCCACTAGAATATTCTGGAAGCTTTGATAAAGATAGGTGTGCTTTGCAATTTGCTACTTACCACACCTGCAGCCAGGATACTCAGTATAGCAACCTTGGTCTCTGGGTCAGACTGAAACTGCTGAACATACATCTGAAACAAGAACACAAGTGTTCTAAGTGTATAAGTCATCATATGTGGTTATTTTCAAGCAAAATGCAAAATACACTGAAATTTCTGTTTCTCTCCAAAAAATATCAAGTTTAAAAGTTTATTTTAATTAATGATATGTAAACATCATAGATATGTTATTGTCACATTCTAATAATGATGCATTGTAAAACATGTAATCGGAACCTTGTAAATTCAAATATAACATTTTATCCCTAAAATATTACACTTCCTGAGGAGGGAAAGAAAATTTTGTTTGATATTTAAAAGTACTACTTTCAGTATGATTATTAAACTAAATAAAAAGTTAATAGAACAAACCATGAAGATTTTGTAGTCCCCCCCCCCCCCCCCCCCAAAAAAAAAAACCAAAAAACTTACATCAAAAAGGAAAAACTCCTGTAATCTATTTGGTGGGTTAAGGAGTCCATGCTACAATATTTCAGGTTCAAGTTTGATTGGAATAGCACATGTACATAAAAGAAAAGCTTAAAGAAAAAAAAAACAAAAAGAAGAAACTGAGCCAAACACAAAATCTTGAGGTCCAGCTTCTCAGCATCCCTAATTTTCAGTTGCTGAACCATAAAATAAAACCCAGATACTTTAGGGGATACAGCCACTAGCACTACCTGCACTCTTGGAACACTTAATTGCAAAATTGAAGGTCCCAAGTGCAACACCTTGTGGTTAAGATGAGGAGACTAATTTGATCCCTTCATGTACATCAAACGAATCTCAAAGGCTTTGAAGTCTACTGTTGCTCTGGTTTGCTATTGCTCAATTTTTTTCTCCTGAAACCCGTTCTAGACCAATCAAATTACGTCACTTTTGCCTTCTATTTTGCCATTAAATGCACCTATGTGACTGTCTGAGTTGAATGTCTTTGACCTTTAACTGAATTGAGCAACTTCAACATGTTTCAGGTGGATGGTATTGACCTAACAGACTGTTTGAATTGATAACCTTGACCTACCAGTCTGTGAGTTGGATGAGATTGACCTATCTGTGTTGATAACCTTGACCTTCCCAATCTGTGAGTTGAATCAGATTGACCTATCTGTGATGATAACCTTGACCCTACCAATCTGAGTTGGATCAGATTGACCTATCTGTGATGATAACCTTGACCCTCCCAATCTGTGAGTTGGATCAGATTGACCTATCTGTGATGATAACCTTGACCCTCCCAATCTGTGAGTTGAATCAGATTGATCTATCTGTGTTGATAACCTTGATCTACCAGTCTGTGAGTTGGATCAGATTGACCTACCTGTGTTGATAACCTTAACATACCAGTCTGTGAGTTTGACGAGATTACCTATCTGTGTTGATAACCTTGACCTACCAGTCTGTGAGCTCGCCAAGATTGACAATCTGTGTTGATAACCTTGACCTACCAGTCTGTGAGCTCGCCAAGATTGACAATCTGTGTTGATAACCTTGACCTACCAGTCTGTGAGTTGGACGAGATTGACCTATTTGTGTTGCTAACCTTGACCTACCAGTCTGTGAGCTCGACAAGATTGACTATCTGTGTTGATAACCTTGACCTACCAGTCTGTGAGTTGGACGAGATTGACCTATTTGTGTTGCTAACCTTGACCTACTAGTCTGTGAGCTTGACAAGATTGACTATCTGTGTTGATAACCTTGACCTACCAGTCTGTGAGTTGGAAGAGATTGACCTATTTGTGTTGCTAACCTTGACCTACTTGTCTGTGATTTGGATGAGATTGACCTTTCTAAGTTGATGACATACCTGTCTCTCTGAGGTAGGTGTCTCCCCATCAATCCTGATAAACTTGATTTTCTTGTTGTACAAGGACTGCTGTAATCCATTCATCATGTTACGGTGGTATGCAAACACAAGGAACTTAAGGTTTTCATTGTCACACAACATCTCAATATACTCTCGGGCTGGTCCGATCTGTCAACAACAAAGTCATTCCATGACAAATATTTGTGAGAATCGTTAAGTAAACTGTATCCCTGTCTAATACATCAGTTTTAACATAACCTGTTCCTCTTGTCTTTGTGTATTCATAGTAAAGTACTGACTTTCATTCAGTTTCCTTTGTTTTCCTACTTCTTTCTGTATAATTTTCCTTTCTATTATACATTCAATGACTGTTACTTTTGCCTCCCCAATAAAAAAAAAAGCTATTACTTTTGCCTCCCACCAATCTTTGTTTTACCTTTGCATCTCCACTCAGTTGGTAGAGTTTCTGTATGAGAGCATTAGTAGAATGATCTTCCCTTCCTTCATGCTGCATGGCATTCATCATGTCAGCAGTGTTTTTACCTTTGGTCAACAAAGGCTTCAGTTCTTCAAAAGTTTTCTTAATTTCCTATACAACAAAACATGAAATTCACCATCACAAAGGAACCCTGGACATAACATATCACTACAATAGTCAAATTAAGTAAGTAAAGCAGACTACCAGAAAATTCAACCATATGAGTTCAGTAACTAACCCAGATCTCAAGCAAGACTTACTGTTTACTTTCATATGCCTAGAACTTCAACAAGTCTTGCATTACAATTAAGACTTTTAGTAAGATCATATTTCACATTTCATGTAAACCAGTCCAAACATTCAACAAAGCATGATGTAAGATATAAGTTTGCCTGAATTTGTGTACCTGTAATTAGAAATTGTATAACAAGTGTACCATTGTTGGATTGCCATCAATTTGTCTTGCATAATGCGTCCATGGTACAGCACAAATTAAGTACAAAGACTAGGTATTACACCACAGGACACAATCTAGATTCCTTTACTGTGTTTATGAGTAACCTTCGTTCCATAAAAATTTTCTACATAAAATTCCCTTTTCCTCACTGATAGTTTTCAACACTATTTTTGAGAATTTTGTTCTTATTCTATAAAACTGAATCATTTCCACGCTTGTTTGCAAAACAGCGATAATAATCCAAGATGGCTGCCTGTTGGCTATTTTATTTTCCTGATCAGTCCAAAAATTAAACTGGCACAACAAGGAACCAAGAGGAACCAACATATGGAATTTGAGAAATCTATCCAGTGCTTTTCAAGGAATCACAATAACAAAAACTGCTTACAGATGGACGGACAGGTTACAAAGGCAAACGCTTTCACTGACAGAATCATCACACTCAGGCAAACGCTTTCACTGACAGAATCATCACACTCAGGCAAACGCTTTCACTGACAGAATCATCACACTCAGGCAAACGCTTTCACTGACAGAATCATCACACTCAGGCAAACGCTTTCACTGACAGAATCTCACACTCAGGCAAACGCTTTCACTGACAGAATCTCACACTCAGGCAAACGCTTTCACTGACAGAATCTCACACTCAGGCAAACGCTTTCACTGACAGAATCATCACACTTACACTAAGTACAATCACTTGGAATTGACAAACTAGAGCCGTCATCACGAGGATCACTAACACTCTGGCAGATGAACATAGTTTATACATAAATTGCTTTATTTCAATCCTAATGACCTCAGTGTTTTATGAATGACCTTGAACTTTCCTTTGATATCTACCATTCCCTAATCATGCTCCTTATGGCTTACTGTTTTTATCTCAGAGTCCTTCAGTTGGAACAGAACACGCTGTCTCTGTTTGGGTGGCAGCTGTGTAAGAACATCATTCTTTAATCGCCGGATCATCAGCATATCAGAAAGGCGCTCTGCCAGTTCCTCCAAGTTACTTGCTCCACTGCAGAAAAAAATGTGATATCTTTAACATGTTGGAGACTGGTGACTGTGTGGTATATTGCAGACTGTAACAAATAATGTTTACTACTGATAACACTATTTTTGTATATATGATAAATCTGAAAATTCCACAGGTTGATATCTGTCCAGGTGATATCACCCCCTGAAGTGATATCACACTCTTTAGAAAGTGATATCTCAACCCCTCTCATTTTTTTTATATTTTGCCACTTCTGCTTATCGCTGTTTGATTTGAACATATATAAAATATTGTTGGCAAGGAAGAAATGGGGTTCTCTTTCTTAAAGACTAATTAAGAATCCCACTCAAATTTCCAGATGGTGACATTTCCACATTGGTTTCCCCTATTAGTGATCCACCAGTAGCTTTAGTCTGCAAAAGTAAACAGCTAAGGACTTATGATGCCTTCGGCCCTTTGACAGATAAGGGGTGTGATATAAAAATGATCATAATAATCTCTACATATCTAATGTCAGTATAAATACATGGAGAAGATGTAACATAGTCCGTGTAAACCCACCATTTTTGCTGTTGTTAAATTTCCAGAGACGTTCTTTATTTAGCACAATCAAATATTAGCACATTATCATATTTCGGCAAATTAGTACAATGTTGAACTCATGCATGAATAAATATTGCTCTATATAAACAATATTGTAATTAGTCATATTATAGCACTATACTTTCAGTGTGAAAGGTGCTAAAAAAATGATTACCACAAAAATATTTGTTTACAGCATAAGGACTTGCCTGTTTTTGGACGACTTTTGCTACTTTGAGACAACTTTCACAACTTTAAGGTGACTATTGCTACTTTGAGACGACTGTTGCTACTTTGAGCAAACTATTGCTATTTTGAGACGACTGTTGCTACTTTTAGACGACTATTGCTACTTTGAGACGACTGTTGCTACTTTGAGACGACTGTTGCTACTTTGAGACGACTGTTGCTACTTTGAGACAACTATTGCTACTTTGAGACGACTGTTGCGACGACTATTGCTACTTTGAGATGACTGTTGCTACTTTGGGACGACTGTCACTACTTTGAGATGATTGTCGCTACTTTGAGCCGACTGCTGCTACATTAAGACGACTGTTGCTACTTTTAGATAACTATTGCTACTTTTAGATAACTATTGCTACTTTTAGATAACTATTGCTACTTTTAGATAACTATTGCTACTTTTAGATGACTATTGCTACTTTGAAGACATTTTACTCTCTGACTAGAATTTCGTTAAACCTCCAGTAAGTGTGACCTAAAATTACTGCTGCCCAAGTAAGTTTAGCCACATCTTGCGTGCATGAAACAGATTAAACCCACAATTATGAAATTAAATTGAACAATAATTTCACTTTTAAACTAGGTTTTAAAATTGCCCCTTGCAGCAGATATGAACTCAAAATTTTTGAAAAGTTGTTTGATTCCTCAACATGGAGACATCTGAAGCACTTTTAGGCTGTGAACTACTAAAGACAAATACATGTACTGTTACATTATTTATTATTTCAGGTTCATGGTAAGCAAATGATGCATTAATGAACATTTCATAAACACCCTTCAGTGTTAGTATCTTGTTTTTATTCGTGGATGTTTTAGTATATTAGGTTGGCACAAGATGAAGGGTATTGAAACCTTTACAAGTCCACAACAGACTGATCAAACAATACGAAAATCTATTATTGATATCAATCATTATGTAAACTCACTTGACACATCGACGTCTGACCCGTCCAAACATCTCTGTTTTAGCATCACAATATCTGGCTGTGTAGTTCCACCATGTGCCAAACTTTCCTGGACAAAGGGCATCAATTTGCGGGAACAACTGTGAGAAAAATGCTAAAATCTTTCGATATATATTCAAAGATGAAGCAAAATGAGACAAAATTTATTAATAATTTCATGGTGTTGACTTACTCGTTTCTTATGTTGGCTATTTATGAAGTCTTTTAATTCTACACTTACTGAATTGATCATTTCAATGATTATTTCCAGTAACTATCAAATGTATTTCCATGTCCTAATCATTACCTCCACAGGTCTGGCCAGCGATGGTGTCCCAGATAACAGAATGCGGCGGTTGGCAGACTTGACTAATGGGACTACAGCTTTACAGGAGGCTGTTTTGATGTTGCGTATGGAGTGAGATTCATCAACGATCACAACCTGGAACTTCCGATTATTTAGTGCTTCCTGAAGTAATTTACTGGTTGACTTGCACAGCAATCCGAAAGTAGTAATGGAGATTTTGGCTTCTGCAAATCCACTGAACCAAAACGATTATTAAATTCTGATTACTTTGTGATAATTAAAAAAAACTAAAAGCAACCCTGCACCATTTATTAAAAAGGTAAATATTCCAAGTTAAGCTTAATGCTATGAATACTGACATGTAACATTACACTACAAAATGTTTGAAAGAAAAATGCTTGTACTCTGTTAAGTAAATGTAAAGAAAAACTAGCACTAACCCCAACAGTTGAGAAAGGAGGAGTGCAAATTTAAGCCATTCTGCAGCCACTAAGTAATGATCTTCAATTTTTAACATGAAGACACTTCCATGTTAGCAGCATATAGTATGCTATTCAAAACATCAGATTTTTTGTTGATCCCTAGAAAATTTCATAATCAAATTTGAGTGATGAAAAATGAAAATCCACTTGCCAATGTTTTTAAAAATTTACAGTAAAAGTAGTAGGTTTTAAAAGTATCAGGTCTTAGGAATAATGTTGAAGAAGAATTAGCAAAATAAAGATTAAGCATGTCACAAACACAGAACTAATGGCTGATCTATTTTAGATTTGTTACCAATCTTTGCTTACCACACATCACTACCTTAATGTACTCAAATTGCATTCTACCTGTTTGTCTTCACTTAGCATTGTAACATGTCTGTACTCACCTAGCGTTGTTATGTGCCTGTACTCACCTAGTGTTGTTATGTGCCTGTACTCACTTACCATTTTACCTGTCTATTCTCACCTACCATTGTAACCTGTCTGTGCTCATCTACCATTTTACCTGTCTATTCTCACCTACCATTGTAAACTGTCTGTGCTCACCTACCATTTTATCTGTCTATTCTCACCTACCATTTTATCTGTCTATTCTCACCTACGATTTTACCTGTCTGTGCTCACCTACCATTGTTACCCGTTTATGATCACCTAACATTGTTACCTGTTTATGATCACCTAGAATTGTAATCTGTCTGTGCTCACCTGCCATTGTTACCCATTTATGATCACCTAGAATTGTCACCTGTTTATGATCACCTAGAATTGTTACCTGTTTATGATCACCTAGAACTGTTACCTGTTTATGATCATCTAGAATTGTCACCTGTTTATGATCACCTAGAATTGTTACCTGTTTATGATCATCTAGAATTGTCACCCGTTTATGATCACCTAGAATTGTTACCCGTTTATGATCACCTAGAATTGTTACCTGTTTACGATCACCTACCATTGGTACTCATTTATGATACCTAGAACTGTAACCTGTCTGTACTCACCTGCCATTTTTACCTGTTTGTAATCATCTAGCATTGTATCCTGTTTGTGCTCACCAAGCATTCTTGCCAGATTATGCTCACCTCGCATCGTTACCTGTCTGTATGAGGTATATATCTTTTGGTTTGACATCAGGAAGCCATTTTTCTATCTCTTCTATCCACACAAACTTCAGTGAGGATGGCACAATAATCAGCAATGGCCATTCTTTCCTGTAGTAGTATGCCACTGAAATAGCCTGTAAAGTCTTACCAAGTCCCATCTATTAAAGACATCAATCATATGTCAATTGTTAGAAGCATCACAAACAATCCAGACACACAAAAAAGGATTAAGCCAGGAGAGTAAGATCACATCCTGCTTCAAGAATGATAAACTACAAAAATACATTGAAAGTTACAGATTTTTGGACAAATGTCAAGGTTACAAAAATGACCTAAATGCAATTGAAAACTTACATTGGATAAGATCAGTTATTTTAATTATTCAATTCAACACCCATGTCATTTGTTTGTGTTTTATAAAATGTTGATCTTAATAATAAATGATGTTTGTTGTATTATTGGATTGTCAAATTGACTAAAATATTGCACAAGCTGCATTCATATCAGCAAAGTTGCATGTGTGGTCCTCAATGAAGTACTTCATCCCAAATTTTCCACTACTTTAATATGATATGCTGATATCTACCAGTATTATAAATATATACTGGTATTTGTTATACAATGTGGTGAAAATGAAACTGTCAATCTAATGGTGTATGTTGTTAATATGAAACTAAACAAGGTATTGTTCTCCTTGGGTTTGTGGTCTAAATTTGTTCATCAAAAATTTATAAACCTACTTTATTGTTTCTTCAACACATTTCAACATGTAATAAATTACACATACTAACCTCATCTGCTATCAAGCATCTGAAATATTGAATAAACCATTTTAATACATTGAATTCATGAATGCCATGTTAATAAACCTGAAAGATTCCAATAAATATTATTGATATCATTACGTAATTTAAAACATGATCAAAATTATTTAAGTTCATAACCTTGTTATTTCAACCGAACTATTGATTGATGAGGGTAAACTGTTAATTAAAATATGAGGCAGATGTGACTCCACATCTTTATTCAGTAGAAAATTTGGTATGACCAAATTTTAATTTCTCTGTTATTATATATAGCTTGCCTTTTAGACTTAATTTCCAGACTATAGTTTTGGCAGGGTACATAGCATCATCAACAAGTCTTAAAGCAAGAAAAACGAAACAACTATATCAGCTGTAAATGACGCGATTTCATTCATTACTCTTTGAGAAAATAGTTATCTCTCTAAATCTGGAGCCATTATAGTTTTCCTTGTAATTATTTATGATACATAGATACATCTTCAAAATGTAGGGTCTCTATATGCCCGACACTAAATCCTATACTTTTTTACCTTTGAGTGATCATATCGTAATTGTTTAACGTTTTTAATCGGATATTAAATGTTTGTTATTGTTGGACCTCGGAGGTTCGACTTGTCTGCTCGTACTGTTGTACATTCGTCTACGGTTTATTTTCATAGATTTCTATCGCATAAAATAACCTTCCATTCTTTCGAACTGCAAAACAGATCCCTTCTTTTTGAAAATCCATAAGACGATTACGGAGCTTCAACGGAAGCGATGACAGCACATTTTCCTCAACGCAGTCTCTGTCCCTTCCCTTCCCCGCCATTTTTTCAAGTTACTAAATCCTACCTTGATAGACAGGAAACTTCCAGAATAGGGGAAGTAACTAAACAAGATCCGCGAATGGTCCGTGTGTACTGTTCACACGGATATCAAGTAGATATTGCCAAAATGACTATCATACGTTTTTAATCCTTTTAAAGATGTCAATGAACACTAGATAAAGTATGTTGCTGGTATTCAGGATAAGACCAAGAGTGATCCTTCTGAATATTCCACGTTTTTTTGTTTTTGTATTGTTTTTCTTCTTCCGTTTCCCCAGAGAGAGGCACTTGATTGAAGGTCGTTTATTTGAAGATATTTTGTATCTTTCAAAGCCACATGCATGCTTCTAAATAAGCATGGCTCTATTTTTTAACTCCAGATGGTTCTAAAAAAACTTTCAACTTATTTGAGACCCGTGATCATGCTATTTTTATAAAGACATTTATACCACTCCATCTCTGGCTAAATATCATGATTTTTGGGTTTTCTAGAACTTCAGAAATATTTCTCAAGTTCAAACAAACTTAATCTCTTTGACCTGACTAACGACATGGGCTTTTTCCAAGTACTCTTCTCCCCTCAATTTACCAAATATTAACAGTCCGTGGACATATGAATTTGTGACGTAAGAGTACGGTACAAACGAAATCAACGAAAATAAATCTATCACGAAAATTAGGATTTTGCAGTTTTCTGTAAGAAATTGACGGGAGGTAAATGGACCCTTCACCTTACCATATTCTCACTGGCATATCGTGCAATATTAACTTAAAAAAACATCTTTCTGTGTGGTTTCGTTCAGACAGCTGTTACTATATGGTTATACTAAAGTTTTCAGTCCCATCCTCGTTTCAGTGAAAGTGCTGGTTGCTTGGTTGGTTGACAGGTTTTCCGTCTTCTTGACTCTACTCGTGTCCCGGTATCGTCTAACCGACGATCGTCAGTGTCGATCATGTCTCGTCTCCTGCAACTCAGAGATATCCTGCTAAAGGAGTCGGTAGGGTGCATTTTCGCCATAGGTGAGTCTTTGTTGGCACAGCATGTGCTGACAACACACTCTGGCAGAACCGGACTGTCGTTAGCACGCACTGCCAAGGATTTGATGTAGATGCCACGACCTAAATATCTATATCCATGACCTGTGTACTACTTTTTTCTAACTCCACGAAAAAAGTTTTCGTAAAAAATCATCGTCCATTTCACATAAATGCAAATGTATTATTTTAGAAATGTGTTATAAACTTTTTTTTATGCGAAAATGAAATTGGTATCACTGTAATTACTAAACTGTATACGAAGTTATTCTGAACTTTAGTTTCTATTAACCTTTCACGATTTTACCGTTCTAGATTATTTGGAGGCGTTATATGTAAGTGCGTCTCACAGTGTGGTTATTGTGTTTGTGAAGTTAACATGTTCATTTCAATTTTGTCGATATTTCTGATACGCAAACAAACGTGAAAATAAATCATCCGAGAGTATTTATTGATTAGCAGTATGCTATCCTTTAGTTCGGGAAATATATTCTAATTAACCACGTGATCAACAGGTGCCGATTCAAAAATAGAAGAAATCGGCTTCTTCCCCACGTATTTATGTATATTAACCCAAGTCCGCTTATTTCACGAACATTTATGATCTCAACTTAATGCAGTTTCGAATTCACGCATATGATTACTTTAACGTTAAATCCTGTTGTTTGACTTAGTATGCATGTTATTATCTAACACAGAAATATAATCAGCCAAGCCACTACCTTTACATACATGTATACCATAAATAGACCAGATCAGCCACATTCTTTGTCAAATATATATCATATTTCATTACGTAACAACACGTTTTCCGGTAAACCTTTATTTTACAGTACAATCCTCTTCTATGTGTACCTGTTAGGATCTAAAACAACCTGTTAATTGTTGGTCAACAGATCTCCAAAGAGCATACAATGTTATCAAATAGCGTATTTTGAGGAGAATGCTTGTTGGAAGTTTCAGAAAAAAGACGAAGATAACTTACTTATTTTAAATTAACAAAGCCGAAAATGTTTGTAATGACTCCGAAGTTTCCTGTCCTACCACGACACTTTGTTCCAATATCAATGGTTCTTCATGCGGTCACATTGTGGCTGTCAAGTATTGTACAGTTAGATATTTTCAAGATATTTGTAGATAAATATATATACTTGCCTGATATAATACATAGATAAATCTAACCGACCAAATGTTTGTATTTATCGACAAAGACGCATGACTATCAGTCTTGTACAAGAATATACGGCCTTGACATTACTTGTACTGTATACAAACTCGCGAAGTTTGCATGCACTCCCAAAATTTAAATAAACGTGGTTTAAATGTAAGGGGAGATGTATGACATCTAGATGTAATGTAACTTGTTTGTAAAGCAATAACATTTGTTCTTGGATCTATTTTGTTGATGTTCGCGTAGACAACGGCACCATCCACTGCTTCCGGTATAAAATGGCGGTTCAATGAAATTCGCCGCTGTTTTGTTCTAACAACGTGCACGAGGGAGTTGTAATTTGTAGTCACCCCAATGTAAACACACTTCGCTGTAAGTTCAGAAAGAGATATAAAAAAATCCCACGGAAGCTACCGAAAACACCGCAAGAATTCCTCAACTATTCACGCTCTTATGCCGCCGACGACAGCAGTGATAACACTTGTTGTTGTTGCTGTATCAATGGGTATATGTCGTCAAACATACACTATAGAATTCTATTGGTGATCATAATGATAACAGCACTAAAACACCACATGTTAATACTGAAATCTCCGCCTCAAAGTGACCAAACAAAGGGTATCGCAAATTATGTAAAAAAAAAAACGAAGAAAACAATATATTGGCATTGGAGACATTCGGATGTTTCCGAAATGTAGTAAGCATGCTCTGACACCATGTCAACGAAAAACGATAACGAGCATTTATCATGATACGTCGAGTGTCAACGATGATACGGAAGATGTTTACCCTTCCGGAACACTCGGTCTTGTACTTTTTGGGGTCTTTGTAAATCGTTCTTTTTGTGATATTTGCCCTAGTTGGGATTGAATTAAGACTTTTTGGATATATCTGTATTTTCTTTCATATTCTTATCTACCGTGCGTTCTGTACATAATAAACATTGCACTGTGTGTTAAGGTGTACTGATGATAGGAAGTCTGCTTTGTCAACTTTCGTTAGCAGTACGGGAGCACATTTCTCTGTCTTGGTTCTCTCCAGGTGACGATACATGCACCTACCGTCCATCACGCCATTAGATGGCACCGTGACCGCTGCGGCGGAAGACGAGATTGATTGGGGAATAATGGTGACAAATACGAGAGAGTGCACCCCTGGTGTGAGTGTCTGTTGTCCAGCTCCATTGCGTGAGAAGACGCCAAATCGATACCACAAATCATAACAAATACCTTCAACCCCAATCCACTACAAACTGCAATGTGTGTCTGTCTGGGCCTACTAATATATTCATATAGAGGTTCATGTAGCTCCTCTTCCAAGTACATTTGCATTTACACATTACTGCTGTAGAGGTACTCTTTGGTGTAGATATATCGGGATTGTGCGACAGTTCCGTGTACATCTTACTGTTACACTTTTATCGAAAAATGTTACTCGCGCCCCTTCACATTAGAAGCACTGACGCGAATATTCCACACAACATTAATATTCCATACGACGCGAACATTCCATACGACACCAACATTCCATACGACCTTCCTCTCCAAACACAAAATACACCTCGAGATGACTTCATATAGTGGTAAGTTCCATTCAACGTGAAGTGAAAAGTTTGTCCCATTCTTCACTCGACAGAACATCATTTATTTGTTTATTTAATTATTGTAATGCAGACAAAAATATGAATATTGGTGTCCTAATCTATAAAAACTATATGTATCCTAACGTACAGTTTCAATCAAAAGGTCAGTAGCTTACAACTATACATATATATAATATATGAAATTAAAAATTGGAAACACTTTGCGTATCGCATATATAAAAAAAAAATACAAAATATTAACATGAAAAATGAAGTTCCAAATTACAAGGCCTGGAGGAGTTAGCGCTCTTGAACTTTATTTGCCGTGTTAATCGTATATCTATTCCAGTAATACACATCCAACGAACATTTGTTTGTTAGGGTCCAGACTAATATTGGACTATACCGTCGATATTACTACATCCTATATATACATTGATATATATTATACGACAGACGGGATGATTTCAATTTCCATAATGTTTCCTTTCTGAATAGAAACGACCCTGCTTCCTGAGTCTATGGCATTTTCACGTTTCACTTTATGCAAGCGTCTGAACCCCATTTCATGGTTTCTGTCGACAGAAAACTCTTCTGGGAAGGCTATGTGTGATGTTTAACGTTGTCACCACGAACTCGTTTGAGAACATTCCAATTTACAGACTGTCCACACCTTTGGCACTTAGTATCACGCGGTTTTGTTCTACACATTTGTATCTTATACCTAAATTCGTGTTTAAAAGTGTAACCGAAATGTGTTTTTTATTTGCATAACTGAGAATGTACATGTAAGTAAAATAACAAAAATGTCAAGTAATACCTCTTTAGTTGCTAGATTCATCGGCGACGTTTTCATCATTGCAGCGGCCCATGTCAACATTGATTTGTATTTTCTTCCTATTTTAACCATCACGGGTTTTACATCCTCACATCATCTAAGGTCATATAAGAGCAACAACTCATCGGCCTATCTATAGCGTGATCTTACTGTAATGGCATAGCGTATACATGGTAACTTACGATACTCCATTACAATGACAGACACTGTCAACAAGGAATGGAACGGGAAGATTGCACGATATATAATGAACTTAACAGGAGAAATGATAGACATTACTGAAAGCAATTTTGATTTTGAAATTGATTTTGTATTAAAAAAGTACCCCACAATCAGGCGTTCAGATAAGAAACGAATAAAGTAACACGCGAAATAA